TGTAGAAACAATGAGAATAGAAAGGTTCAGAACTTTTGTAAAACATCACTGTACAGTTGAAAAATATATGGCAAATAGAAATCCAATATTGATGGTGTTAAGAGATAGATGGGTGGTGTTGAATGGAGTTGAAGGATGGGACTAATAACAACTAACAACAACTAATAACAACAAGATAACTAATAATGTAAGCATACTGTGTCCATAATAAGTATATAGGTTATAGGTTGAGAGCTTTTGTGAAAGAGCACAGTTAGAAAGACATGGCATATAGAAGCAAACCGGATGGACATCATGAAAATGATCGGAGAGGTTGAGGGTAGAGGAAGTTCAGCAGTAAAAACAAACAAAATAGAATTATTGTAAAATTGACTGTGTAAATAAAATGTAATACTATGTATAAGCTGGAAGTAGAGGCCTAAGCATTGTTGTTCACTAGTTTACTCCAATTATGGAAAGTAATAAAGGGAAATATATTTTAAAAAAGGAAATGTATATGTATGTGTATATATGTATGTATGTATGTATGTATGTGTATATACAGTGGGGAGAACAAGTATTTGATACACTGCCAATTTTGCAGGTTTTCCTACTTACAAAGCATGTAGAGGTCTGTAATTTTTTATCATAGGTACACTTCAACTGTGAGAGACATAATCTAAAACAAAAATCCAGAAAATCACATTGTATGATTTTTATGTAATCAATTTGCATTTTATTGCATGACATAAGTATTTGATCACCTACCAACCAGTAAGAATTCTGGCTCTCACAGACCTGTTAGTTTTTCTTTAAGAAGCCCTCCTGTTCTCCACTCATTACCTGTATTAACTGCACCTGTTTGAACTCGTTACCTGTATAAAAGACACCTGTCCACACACTCAATAAAACAGACTCCAACCTCTCCACAATGGCCAAGACCAGAGAGCTGTGTAAGGACATCAGGGATAAAATTGTAGACCTGCACAAGGCTGGGATGGGCTACAGGACAATAGGCAAGCAGCTTGGTGAGAAGGCAACAACTGTTGGCGCAATTATTAGAAAATGGTAGAAGTTCAAGATGACGGTCAATCACTCTCGGTCTGGGGCTCCATGCAAGATCTCACCTAGTGGGGCATCAATGATCATGAGGAAGGTGAGGGATCAGCCCAGAACTACACGGCAGGACCTGGTCAATGACCTGAAGAGAGCTGGGACCACAGTCTCAAAGAAAACCATTAGTAACACACTACGCCGTCATGGATTAAAATCCTGCAGCGCACGCAAGGTCCCCCTGCTCAAGCCAGCGCATGTCCAGGCCCGTCTGAAGTTTGCCAATGACCATCTGGATGATCCAGAGGAGGAATGGGAGAAGGTCATGTGGTCTGATGAGACAAAAATATAGCTTTTTGGTCTAAACTCCACTCGTTGTGTTTGGAGGAAGAAGATGGATGAGTACAACCCCAAGAACACCATCCCAACCGTGAAGCATGGAGGTGGAAACATCATTCTTTGGTGATGCTTTTCTGCAAAGGGGACAGGTCGACTGCACCGTATTGAGGGGATGATGGATGGGGCCATGTATCGCGAGATCTTGGCCAACAACCTCCTTCCCTCAGTAAGAGCATTGAAGATGGGTCATGGCTGGGTCTTCCAGCATGACAACGACCCAAAACACACAGCCAGGGCAACTAAGGAGTGGCTCCGTAAGAAGCATCTCAAGGTCCTGGAGTGGCCTAGCCAGTATCCAGACCTGAACCCAATAGAAAATCTTTGGAGGGAGCTGAAAGTCCATATTGCCCAGCGACAGCCCCGAAACCTGAAGGATCTGGAGAAGGTCTGTATGGAAGAGTGGGCCAAAACCCCTGCTGCAGTGTGTGCAAACCTGGTCAAGGCCTACAGGAAACGTATGATATCTGTAATTGCAAACAAAGGTTTCTGTACCAAATATTAAGTTCTGCTTTTCTGATGTATCAAATACTTATGTCATGCAATAAAATGCAAATTAATTACATACAAATCATACAATGTGATTTTCTGGATTTTTGTTTTAGATTCCGTCTCTCACAGTTGAAGTGTACCTATGATAAAAATTACAGACCTCTACATGCTTTGTAAGTAGGAAAACCTGCAAAATCGGCAGTGTATCAAATACTTGTTCTCCCCACTGTATATATTTGCGAGAAGAAAAAAAGCATTGGGGGATTGGAAGTGATGCAGACAATTACATTGATGGAAGTTACAATCTATCTGCAATATTAAAGCTGATCTACCCCCTAATAGAAACAAATAAAATACACAAATAAAAACTGTTCTCAGCATCACCATGGTGAGGGCCAATAAGGTGCAGTGGAAAGCAGCATGTCTCAGCAGGTCAATGAGGTACTACTGAATCAATGAGGTAATGTACTAATTGGCCTCAGGGAAAGAGAGAAAGTCTAAGACAGGGGTGTCAAACTTATTCCATGGAGGGCCTAGTGTCTGCGGGTTTTTTGTTTTTTCCTTTAAATTAAGACCTTGACAAACAGGTGAGGGGAGTTCTTTACTAATTAGTTACCTTCATTCATCAATCAAGTACAAGGGAGGAGGGAAAACCCAGAGACACTCTGCCCTCTGTGGAATGAATTGGACACGTGGTCTAAGAGATAGATATTCAGTGCTTTCGGAAAGTACTCAGACCCCTTGCACCTTTGGCAGTGATTACAGCCTCGAGTATTCTTGGGTATGACGCTACAAGCTTGGCACACCTGTATTTGGGGAGTTTCTCCCATTCTTCTCTGCAGATCCTCTCAAGCTCTGTCAAGTTGGATGGGGAGCGTCGCTGCACCGCTATTTTCAGGAATCTCCAGAGATGTTTGATCGGGTTCAAGTACGGGCTCTGGCTGGACCACTCAAGGACATTCAGAGACTTGTCCCAAAGCCACTCTTGCGTTGTCTTGGCTGTTTGCTTACGGTCATTGCCCTGTTGGAAGGTGAACCTTCACCCCAGTCTGAGGTCCTGAGCGCTCTGGAGCAGGTTTTCATCAAGGATCTCTCTATACTTTGCTCCGTTCATCTTTCCCTCAATCCTGACTAGTCTCCAAGTCCCTGCCGCTGAAAAACATCCCCACAGCATGATGCTGCCACCACCATGCTTCACCATAGAGATGGTGCCAGGTTTCCTCCAGATGTGACGCTTGGCATTCAGGCCAAAGTGTACAATCTTGGTTTCATCAGACCAGAGAATCTTGTTTCTCATGGTCTGAGAGTCCTTTAGGTGCCTTTAGGCAAACTCCAAGTGGGCTGTCATGTGCCTTTTACTGAGGAGTGGCTTCCGTCTGGCCACTACCATAAAGGCCTGATTGGGGGAGTGCTGTAGAGATGGTTGTCCTTCTGGAAGGTTCTCCCATCTCCAAAGAGGAACTCTGGAGCTCTGTCAGAGTGACTATCGGGTTCTTGGTCACCTCCCTGACCAAGGCCCTTCTCCCCGATTGCTCAGTTTGGCCAGGCGGCCAGTTCTAGGAAGAGTCTTTGTGGTTCCAAACTTTTTCCATTTAAGAATGATGGAACCACTGTGTTCTTGGGGACCTTCAATGCTACAGAAATGTTTTGGTACCCTTCCCCAGATCTGTGCCTCGACACAATCCTGTCTCGGAGCTCTATGGACAATTCCTTCGACCTCATGGCTTGGTTTTTGTCTAACATACACTGTCAACTGTGGGACCTTATGTAGACAGGTGTGTGCCTTTCCAAATCATGTCCAATCAATTGAATTTACAACAGGTGGACTCTAATTAAGTTGTAGAAACATCTCAAGGATGATCAATGGAAACAGGATGCACCTGAGCTCAATTTCGAGTCTCATAGCAAATGGTCTGAATACTTATGTAAATAAGGTATTTCTGTTTTTTATTTTGAATTATTTTGCAAAAAAGTATTTTCCTGTTTTCGCTTACATAACAAAATGTTGAAAAAGGGAAGGGGTCTGAATATTTTCCGAATGCACTGTAATACTGGAGGGAAAATAAGAATGTGAGAAGAGAGGAGTGATATGTGCTCGTTATGTGATATAAAAGCCCGGCAGCAGCATAATCAAATGCAGTGCTGACGCTCTCTGAAGCCACAATCGAAAACAGGAAACACTAATGGATTGTCTCTTGGGTTTTCTTGACAGTATTCTAAACAGATAAAAAATATGTCAATTGTTAGAGGAAGAGAAAGCAGACAAAAGAAGAAAAAGTGCTTGTGGTCTTTTATGTGAACAAGGAGGCGATTGCTTGTTGATTTCCTCTGAACTGAAAATTACTCTGTCCCAACAATGAGAGATTAAAGAGACTTGAATCCGCTTTGGACCAGGACAGATAACTTCAAACAAGTTCCCCAACTGGCATCCCGTGGTCCGTACTTGGCCCCCGCATGGTTTTATTTGCCCACCCCCCCCCCACCCACCCCAGTTTTCTGAGCAAAAAATAAATAAACATTTATTTTTCATTGTTGGACATAAAAGACTGTAAAAACAGCAGGAAATCAGCTCCAAGTGATTTTAATTTTGGAAATCTGTTCCCACGCGTAATATAGAGACACGTGATTGTATACAAATGTAAGCAAGGTTTGAAATGATTATGTTTTAGTCAAATATTATATCTGTTTTGGCTTCTTGCGGTCAATTCGCAGTTTGCAAATTATTTGTCATTACGTTCCAGCCCCCCGAACATCCACTCAAGAAAAAATTGGCCCGCGGTTGATGATCCCTGTGCTAGGTGGTTTGTTGTCGGTCATTTGAAGGTCTATGTACTTTCTGCATAACCAATCATCAAACCATCCACATTCTCTAGAGAAACAAAATGGTGCACATTCCTAGATGAAGAGGGCTAGCTTGAGCATATTGGAAACTATGTATTATCCATTATGAATTACATTCATGAATCTATGATAAATGACAAATTACATTCATGAATCTATGATAAATGACACATATGACTAATAATGTATAATGAGAAGACTTATTTCCCATCATTCTTGTCTCAAGGACTATAACAACAATGGGTAAATGCATTTTCATTGTGGTGCTCCATCACAAATGCCAAATAACTGACTGATTATGACGCATGTAATTAGTTAAGTCTCCCATTCCACAAAAAACGGTAAAGCTTGGTAAACGAAGAGATCAAGTTATTTCATCAGCCTGTGCATGCTGGAAGTAGAGCCTGTGCAAATTAAGAATTAGGTGTAACCCTTCTCCGAACCATTTGTCTTTCCCGTCTTTTGTGTCTAATGCCATCAGAATTTAATGATGGTTGTCACGTTTGTCTGCATATACAATACACTGTCATTTGGCAGATACTGGAGCCAGTGAACCTCACTTGAATGTCGTCAATCATTCACTGGAGACAGTATAAGACGTGCTCAAGGAGATCCCAGGAAATAGGATCATTCAATGTTATAAAATGTATGTGGAAAGCATATTTGCTACAGTTTTCAGGCTACTTTATTATCGTGCTAACCTGAGTGTTCTGGTTTTGGTCTTTTTAGATAACTGTGATGGCCCTTTGGTATCAAATCTGCTTCAGGCCTCCTTTGAGAGGTCCTCACAGTTCTCCATCAGTAACGCTCCACAATTCGCCAAGCTCAACAGAAGAGATGGTGAGTAAAGACTAAGTCCATGCTCAACGCTGTGTAGACATATCCATCAGTAGTAATGATCCTCTTGATGCATAGCCTACTTCCCATGAACACCATGTGCAGAGTATGTTGGTCTCACATTTCATTTCCACATACTTAATTAATAAACATGAATTATCGGTGTATAGCTATAAATGATTTGATCGATGGATTGTAAACAACAAATTGCTTGTCATTTAATTCTATGGTTGTGAGCAGTTGTTAGATTAATTGCCAGCTGTTTCATTTAGAATCAGCCACCTACATCTGATCACTAAACATCAGTGATAAACTCAAAGGCCAACCTAATTGTCCCACGTACTCCATACTCCTCAGTCTGGTTAGTAGTCAATGTGGCATCAACGTAAAGTTGCTGGAGTTACAGTACATTCATGCCTGCCTTCAAAACTGCTCTTCACTGAATGGCCTTGAACATACGTATAAATATATAGCAACCACAGACCTTCCAGGGTAGCAGATATGCACATATATATTTCACACCCTGTCCATCAAACACTGACTGTACCCTGGGTTATTTTTAGCCACGGCCAACCTCCCTACGTGTGTCTGTAACAACCAGAATGATCCTGCTCCCTGGGGGGGGGGGATCCGTAAACGATGCTTCCTCTGTGTCTCTGACTCTGGTTTGATATGCTGCACTCATCTGCTCCCATGGTGGTGTGTCCCAGCCCAGAGCAGCTGAGTAATGAACCTTTCAGCCAGAGCTGATCTGTCTTCTTCCGCTCGACGACTGAGTAGCTGTGGGGATTAAACTCATCTTTAAAAAACACAATACGTTACAAATCTCCACCCCCTGTGGAATCTTAGCCGCTGAATTCATAACAGTGCTATACATGATGGAGATGGACTGGCCAATGTGTTTGCCTCAGTAAATCTTGAAATTAAATTAGAAATTCAATGAACAGACACACACACAAAATAGTGGGGGGTTTCTATCACCAAAATACAATAGATCTACTTCTCACCTCACGCTTCGACAAGCTTCACATATACTGGAGATGCATAGCTTAAATGGAGAGTTTTTTTTTTCTTAAGTAAAAAATATACTTTCTATGTAATTTCAAGCTTAGGAAAAAACATACTAGGATATCTGCATCTCAATGACAGGCTATTAATCATTCTCTGCTAGCATGTCTGTTTCTCTGTTAGTTTATCTGGGAGGGCCGCAGGCTAAGGGTTTATCAAGACTGTGTCCATATTTTAGAGTAACGGCTCTTCGTGTAACAGAATGCTGAAAATCAGACCAGAATCAAAGCCTATCGTTAGTTGTTTTTGTTTCATGTTTACTCTCTGTTTTTCCAAGGCAGACCTACATTATTGAAGCCATTAATGGTTCACTAGCATAAAGACAAGAAAAAAAAAACTCTAAATAGTTCAGAAGGATCAGTCTAGGGCACTACCAAGACTGATACATAAGGGATAGCCTTTTACCACACTGTAACGGAAAACTGTAATTTATACAGTAATTTTAGGTATTATCAACAGTAGAAAATGTAGAAACAATTTACTGCAGCATACTGTAAATGTTATTTTATTAATTTTTTCTTTCTTTAACAAGGGGAACCCATTGAGACCAGAGTCTCATTTACAATGGTGCCCTGAAAACAACATATAAAGTAATGTGATCAACAATTCAATCATGATCACTACAAAATTACAATTACAAAATTTCAAATAGATTATGTTACATTCAAAAGGGCAGTAGAAACAAATATATACAATAAATGAAAACATGCAGTTTTCATTGGTCACATTTTTTATCAAGAGCCCTAAATTCACCTTTTGGGGCTTAAGAATCCAGTTTTAGAATGACTTGTAGGTCATTCCAGGATTGATGGGCACACACTAACTTAAAGCAGTCTTCCCTAACTCAGAGGAGACCCTTGGAACCTCTAGAACCAACCAGTTGTGAGTCTTATAATTACTAGATTTCCAATTTAGAAGTGAGGTGAGGTAGTATGGGAGTTTTTGGAGAAGTGCTTAATATTTATTTAACCTTTTTTTAACAAGACATATTGAGACCTAGGTCTCTTTTCCAAATGCACCCTGTATAATAAAATATAAAATATACATTACACACAATATATATACACACATTAAAATACAAAAATACAGTCATGGCAAGCACAAATAAAACATCACAAATCACCCAGAAAAACAGTTACATTTCTCCACAAATAAGTCCCCAATCAATACTTTAAATTGCCTGAATGGCACCAAAACATTAAGATTAAATGTATTTTGAATTGTGTTACAGCGATTTTACAGATTTGTATGCACTCACTAACTGTTAGTCGCTCTGGATAAGAGCGTCTGCTAAATGACTAAAATGTAAAAAAAATATTTACCTAGCTTGGTGGAGATCCTAGGAACCTCAATAGTTAATCAAACCTGTGAAAGGGTTAGGCAACTCAGATGTCTGTACTTCAACAGCAAAGTTAGATAAGATGGAGGTTCATGAAGTAGGGCCTTGTAAACAAAAAGGGAGTAATGTAGAGATCAATGGGTCTTTAGCGAAGTCCAACCAACCTTTTGATACAGGATACAGTGAAAACTGTCGACTGTAACAAAACGAAGGGCACTATGGTAGATGGCATCCAAAGCTTTAAGTATGGTGGCAGCTGCACTTTGATAAAAACATGTCACCATAATCAAGAACAAATAATGCTTAGAGCAGCACGATCTGTTTCTGTAAAAAAGCTTCTTAACCAGCTCATCTATATGTTTTTTAAACGTCAAATCCATATCAATCCAAATGCCTAAGTATTTATATGCAGGAACACATTTCATTAGAGAACCATCTAATGAGTGAACGTAGTTAATCTGAAACACTCTTACGAGAGTTTAAAAACAGCATGTATTTTGTTTTGCCCGTATTAAGCACACATTTTAAATCAGCAAGGGATTCCTGCAAAGCTATAAGAACTGACTGTAGTTTTGACACAGCCAGATCAACATTCGGGGCAATAGCATACATAATAGCATCATCTGTATACTGTATACTGTAGATGAAGTTAACAATTTTTAAAAGATTGACCAATGGTGTTTATATAAATATTGAAGAGAACAGGTCCCAAAATCAACCCCTGTGGTACACCTTTACGTACTTCAAGAAATTCTGACTTAACCCCATCAATCACAATGTGCTGAGGTTCTGTCACTAAGACAATCATGAAACCATGATTAATAGCCAATGTTGGCCACTTCTGGTAGTCAGAGAGTCCCAGCCAACAGAACTAAACATGAGTCAATATTGTGTACGGATCATTATGTTGCATTGGTGCATTATGGTGCATTGTGGGAAAATCGCTGTATTTCCAATGGTACTATGGGGTAATTCCACCCCATAGAATACTTTAGAGCACCAAAAACCTTTTGACCACTATTGAGTGCATGGTGTTGTTGTGTCTGGCTCATTAACATATTTGGAGGCGTGCCTTGTAAGAGGCTATATTTGTTGCATCCGTGAGTGAGAACGCTGTACCAATTTAACTCCTATGTGGTTATAGTGCCCCATCACTGTCAAGTGTATAGGGGACAGATTGGAGTGGCAGCAAGTCTTAAACCTTAAAACGGTTGAGCTGTTTTGCTCTGTTGTCGCTGCCAGTTTGGAAGCTGTTGTTAAGGCCTCTAGAAGTGCAAGTGATATAAAACACCAAATATTCATTAATGTGTAACACTTTACCTAACAGCTAATCTGCTTGCACCAATCCCAATCCCTGCTTGCACCAATTACAGTGAAATACTTTGAAATACAAACTGCTTCCCGCTAATGAATTTCATGTATTCATTCATTCATTCTGATTATGGTAGCATTTAGTTTTTTTTTACAGTATAATACAGTCAATTTTATGGTATTGTACTGTGTGTCATTACACAGTACTTGCTTTGATACCATATTCATATTACAGCAGGTGTACTGTAATATGAAATACAGAATTGTACTTGCCACTGAGCTCCCTGTAAGCCCTTTACAGTGCACTGTCCGAATCACCTCCAATAAGGCTACATTAAACTGCTTTTAGACAGGGTTTAGATAATTCTGCAGTGCTCATGAACACCTATAGTAGAGTACAGCCAGGGAGTCTGAATGAATTAACCCAAATGTCCAGCTGAATAATGCCTTATTATTCCTGTCTGACACAGCAGACTCACAGCCCTATAGCCATAATAACTGCCACAGTTACCAGTCACCAGACACAATCCCACTCTCTCCCACACATTCAATATTCTCTGAATCGGCTGGAGCTTTAAGGAAAACTATCTTTCACACTGGAGCTGTCTGGACTACGCATCTGTGTGTGTGTTTGTGTGTGTGTGTGTGTGTGCATCTTTCTACTCCTGCTGTGTCACACCTAGCCATGCTAGGTCACTTTCTGCACCTTCCTGTTCTGAGCTGTTTTCTCTCTCTGGTCTCCCAAGGAGCGGGAGGCTGGTCTCCCCAGGTGACAGACAGACAGCCGTGGCTGCAGCTGGACCTCAGGGACAGGATGGAGGTGACGGCCATCGCCACCCAGGGGCGCTACGGCGGCTCAGACTGGGTCAGCGGCTACCTGCTGCTGTTCAGTGACACAGGCCGAGCCTGGAAGCAGTACCGACAGGAGGACGGGGTGGGGGTGAGTCTCCTCGTTGATTATTTATTTACCTTGCAAGGCTCTGTTCTCTATTTTAATCCTTTAAAAGTTTTTTCAGGCTGTTAACTTTGCCAAGCGTGTTCATTTATATGCGAGAGCTTCAGTTCTATAACTGTCATTCCTCATGACAACGGTCCGAAGAGGCGTTATATCTGACAGTAACGACAGATATCCTTGGGGATATACGTAGCTAGCTAGTTTGCCTCCCACCTGTCAACTCAGAGGCAAATGCTGACAGCAATGTTTGGGTTTGCTGAAGTAGATTTGAATCAGACTGAAAGAAAGTATATGGAGGAATGACACTGCTAAATACGACTTCTGGTTAAGAAACGTCTGAATCAGCGTCTGAGCTCTCCATCTTCCTTCTGTCAGATAAGAGGGAGTTTTAATCCACTCTTTCAAGTCTTTACTTCTGTTTAGCATTGCCATGAGGGACAGACAAACGGTTATCAAGGTTTTTAGAGTCAGACTGTTTTTTGTTCCTGTGGTTTGAAATCATGACAAAGGATGGCTTTTGCAGATGCACATACAACTCATCAGGCAACTAGAACCCCCTGGACAGACATAAACACATGCTGCAACTCTTCAGGAAACTAGAACCACCTGGACAAACATAAACACATGCTTCAACTCATCAGGAAACTAGAACCCCCTGGACAAACATAAACACATGCTGCAACTCATCAGGAAACTAGAACCACCTGGACAAACATAAACACATGCTGCAACTCATCAGGAAACTAGAACCCCCTGGACAAACATAAACACATGCTGCAACTCATCAGGAAACTAGAATCCCCTGGACAAACATAAACACATGCTGCAACTCTTCAGGAAACTTGAACCACCTGGACAAACATAAACACATGCTGCAACTCATCAGGAAACTAGAACCACCTGGACAAACATAAACACATGCTGCAACTCATCAGGAAACTAGAACCCCCTGGACAAACATAAACACATGCTTCAACTCATCAGGAAACTAGAACCACCTGGACAGACATAAACACATGCTGCAACTCATCAGGAAACTAGAACCCCCTGGACAAACATAAACACATGCTGCAACTCTTCAGGAAACTAGAACCCACCTGGACAGACATAAACACATGCTGCAACTCATCAGGAAACTAGAATCCCCTGGACAAACATAAACACATGCTGCAACTCATCAGGAAACTAGAACCTCCTGGACAAACATAAACACATGCTGCAACTCATCAGGAAACTAAAACCACCTGGACAAACATAAACACATGCTGCAACTCATCAGGAAACTAGAACCCCCTGGACAAACATAAACACATGCTTCAACTCATCAGGAAACTAGAACCACCTGGACAGACATAAACACATGCTGCAACTCATCAGGAAACTAGAACCCCCTGGACAAACATAAACACATGCTGCAACTCTTCAGGAAACTAGAACCACCTGGACAGACATAAACACATGCTGCAACTCATCAGGAAACTAGAATCCCCTGGACAAACATAAACACATGCTGCAACTCATCAGGAAACTAGAACCTCCTGGACAAACATAAACACATGCTGCAACTCATCAGGAAACTAAAACCACCTGGACAAACATAAACACATGCTGCAACTCATCAGGAAACTAGAATCCCCTGGACAAACATAAACACATGCTGCAACTCATCAGGAAACTAAAACCACCTGGACAAACATAAACACATGCTGCAACTTTTCAGGAAACTAGAACCCCCTGGACAAACATAAACACATGCTGCAACTCATCAGGAAACTAGAACCTCCTGGACAAACATAAACACATGCTTCAACTCTTCAGGAAACTAAAACCACCTGGACAAACATAAACACATGCTGCAACTCATCAGGAAACTAGAATCCCCTGGACAAACATAAACACATGCTGCAACTCATCAGGAAACTAGAACCTCCTGGACAAACATAAACACATGCTGCAACTCATCAGGAAACTAGAACCTCCTAGACAAACATAAACACATGCTTCAACTCTTCAGGAAACTAGAACCCCCTAGACAAACAAAAACACATGCTGCAACTCATCAGGAAACTAGAACCACCTGGACAGACATAAACACATGCTGCAACTCATCAGGAAACTAGAACCTCCTGGACAAACATAAACACATGCTGCAACTCATCAGGAAACTAGAACCACCTGGACAAACATAAACACATGCTGCAACTCATCAGGAAACTAGAATCCCCTGGACAAACATAAACACATGTTCCTTTATCACACCATTCCAGAGTGTGGAATAAGAATTTTATTCATGTCCACACACGATTCAGAAATGTTGCACTTGGCTCTCTGTCCATTTTCCCCCTCAGATGCAGTGTCATTGAAAAGTCACACTCTGGAGGAGGAAAGATTGATTTACTTATCAAGTCCTTTTATTGCCTCATCAAAATGGATGCCGTGTCTCACCCTGGAGGTGTGAACTTTTCATTACTCACACTCTCAGAAACACATGGTTGAAAGAGTTTAGCCCGACTACTCCTTTTATTTCTCCCGGTACAGTCATTTTGAGCCTATCTGATGCTCTAGGCCCAGGCCCAACCACAGACCGACAACACGTCTATTGCTGGTCATTGAGGTGTTGCAGATGATGCCACAGCAATTCCAGTGACCTTTCTATTAGGTTCTGTCACTTGAAACCAAGCAGACATACACTTTGCAGTATTGTTGTTGGTGTAAGAGGTGTAGGAGCCATTAGATTCAGGGTAGTGGACATAACTGTGCTGACAAGCCAGCTTGGGCCTCTTATGTAGCTGACATTGACACATATCACTCCACACCCTCCCCACTGGGCACAAAAATTATTCAATCAACTTTGTTTCCATGTAATTTCAACCCAAAAAATATCCGATGATGTTTAATCAACGTGGAAAACTGATTAGATTTGCAAAAAGTAATCAATGTAATATCATACTTTTTTTCATCCAAACTTTAACCTAAATCCAATGACATGGTGAAATATTTTGTTGATTTCACATTGAATTCACATTACTTGACAACTCAACCAAATGCACATCAAAACTAGACGTTGAACTAAACGTCTGTGCCCAGTGGATAATCTATCTTCATCTCCTAGCCTTTGTCACTTAACGGCAGGTGAACCTTGATTCCTCCTAGTGGAAAGTGCTGAGCGCAGAGGCTTTTAGAGTGCTCGACAGTACACAGTTATTACTGTCATTGCATATCTGCCCCCCAAAGATATGCATTTTAGACACTTTCATGCCTCATAAGTTGTCATCTCAAGGATAGTTTTCAAGGGCATAGTGCCATAGTCTATACTCAGAGGTACTTTGCTAGGAGGGAATGCATGTACTTTGTCTCTCATGAAAGTATTGACATTCAAAAACAGGTTGAACATAAAACTTGTTTTGGCCAAGAAAATTGGCACAATAATTTCACGATAATAGCATTGTTAATATAAATGAAAAGCTTTAACTTGGATTGCGCATCATTTGTTTCTAACTCTTAAACAAATAGATCAGGATAATGATTGGTATTTTTGGTCAACCATTACATACATAGCAGCTGAAAATGAAATCGTTCTAACAAAACAAACTACAGTTCTGCTTTGGTTTGTTTTGTCATTTAGCAGACGCTCTTATCCAGAGCGACTTACAGGAGCAATTAGGGTTAAGTGCCTTGCTCAAGGGCACATCGACAGATTTTTCACCTAGTCAGCTCGGGGATTAGAACCAGCGACCTTTCGGTTACTGGCACTATGCTCTTAACCACTAAGCTACCTGCCGACATTGAGATAACAAATTATTAACTTTGTTTCTAAATTCTAACATTGTAGCATAGGTCATAGGCTAATTCTGTCTACTGGGCATGTTTGAAAGGGTTAACGCGACATCAATTATGTTACATACCATATAGTTCTAAAAGTGCTGATAACCATAAGAATTAACATTTATTTTTCATTTAACCTTTATTCCACCAGTAAATCTCATGAGGTTTGTTCTTCCGTTCTCCGAGAGACTTTGCCCTTAATAAAGAAGAGGTGAATGTCACTCTCATGCAAACCATGGTGCTGTAAAGGTTTCCGAGGTTCAACCCACTCTTTATTCTCCATGAAAGGTGTCAGTGACTCTTTTGATCTAGGCACACGGCACTTTTCAGAAACTATTTGTCTCTCCTGTGAATCAGACAGGGCACATTTTTTTATGGTATTTATTGACATGCTGCTGGTAATTTTCACCAGGTATCCAGGATCAAAGACACTGAAAGGCCAGAACAGTTGCAACATTGTCCTTGCTGCATACACATGTGGAGGAAATAAAGACTTCGATGTAAACAGGTTGTGCTTCGTTAAAGCCTATGCTTCTTAAAATACGTATTTTATCTTACAGTTTAGGTCACACATTTGTTTTGAACCTTGATAAACAGGTCACATATTATGTAATATGAGACTTGTTAAGCATTCATTTAGGCCTTATGAAAGGCTTCATTAAGCATTCATAAGTTATACTTGGTTTAAAGTGTGACGATAAACAGATTAACAAACCTATTAGTGCTGAGTGCTGCTCGCAGGCTCTCATTACCCCTGATTGAACACATGACCACAACCTCCCTCTACTTCTGTTCATCCCTTATTTCCAGCTCTCTAGTCTTCCATTACATGCAGGCTTGAGCAGCCCACAGGCCATTCAATATGCAGTCTATTACCATGTGGAGATTGGGTAGCTTTAGACCAGGGTCTGGTGGTCAATGTAGAGCCTCTATGACCCTAATATGATGTACTATCTGGCCCATAGTCGTATCCAGTGGGTATAGCCAAGGTTGCCAGCCTTGCGTCACCACTATGACACACAAACGTACATCAGGAGATCGGTTTACCAATGACTCCATGATCGACGTTTTAAACCCAGCTTTTATTCTTCCAAGAGCACCAAATCCCAGTATCTGCCATCGTCTAATTAACATAACTTTGCATGGCCCAAAACATTAAAACAAAAGGCATAAAACTTCACACGCATTCTCTAAATTAATCACCACACCTCAACACTATGATAAAGCACACCCCTGAGTCGTTCATCTTTGAACTATCCGCCATCCGACTATCCGCCATCCGATTATCCACCATCCGACGAACAGAATAACAGTTTCCCTGGAACAATAAATCCATGAAACATATCAAAATGCATAGCTCTTTATGAACTCTTGAAACAATCCTAAACATGACAATTTAATTCACACAGTTCAAGTTTCAAGTTTCATCAGTCTTCACCTCTCCTGGCTTTAGTGACCCTTGTATTTCTGTGGAAATGTCTCTTCATCGAGACTGCCACAGATAAGGTGTGTTTGACTCCTGTGATAGCCCACAGATGGTCTGTCATTCAAACAATGCCATAAATCATGATTGCGTCATCACGCTGGGCCTCGGTGCCAGCAAGTCGTTAGAGGCATCTTCATCACCGGCCTTCATCATCATTCACATTGGTTCACTCTCTATGTTTCCACTACATTCACATTGGTTCACTCTCTATGTTTCCACTACATTCACATTGGTTCACTCTCTATGTTTCCACTACATTCACATTGGTTCACTCTCTATGTTTCCACTACATTCACATTGGTTCACTCTCTACGTTTCCACTACATTCACATTGGTTCACTCTCTATGTTTCCACTACATTCACATCATTGTCACTCAAAAATAATTTCTGAATTTAGTTGCTTGTAGAATAATGTTACAATGCAAATGTCATGTGTAAAATAGTTTTATTTTATGTCGTTTTGCAACTAAACCTCCCTTGCACTGCACTACTTTGTAATACTTTTTGCATAGTTGTTTCGTTGGGCTGGCCCTCATCCTCCAAGTATGGTTTGCTGCAGCCCAATATGGCGAGCGGAGTTTGGGCGAGTGGGTGTGTCGAAAGGAGTGGGTGTATGAAAAGCGAATCAGCTAATTGGGCAGATTTGTTGCCTCTCAAGACGTGTTGCGTGTCTGATTGGGCTGCACGATGAGTCGATAAGCCGGTGTTATATCGACGTGCCTGCCGACCTGTGGGTTCTTCTTACTGGGTATCACAGTCATGTCGCCTGCGGAAGCTAACGTGGCCATTTTTTTCTCTCACATGATTTTATTTCAAGTAGGATAGCAACCCACACAATAAATAACTAATATGGATAACCATCTAGATGTCACATTGATTCATACATTGATACATACATACAGTGTACTACTCAATGGGGAGGGTATGTCCCGCTTGACAAGCACTACTGTCCAGCAACAGCGTGGGAAGTAGCTACCTAGTAGCCAATATCAGGGTGACAGTCACAGTAAGCACACATACAACGAATGAAGCAACAGTACATCCATCATTCATACTTTTAATAAAAAATAAAAAATAGTCCGTTTTATAACTGAAAATGTACAATTATTTGTTTAAAACTAACAGTGAAATACGACTCAGACTCATCCTCTGGCTTAACAACAGAAGTCCAAACTCTGGCGGTACGGTCGCTCATTGTACGGTAGTTGCATGGTAAGAAACTGAAGGAAAAAAACACAGCTCAATCAAAACCGTCTAACCCCTATAGCAGAGCGCTTTGGACACACCCACTCCTTTCCACACGCCCACTACTTTCCTTTCGAAACACCCACTCCTTTCCACACGCCCACTACTTTCCTTTCGACACACCCACTCCTTTCCACACGCCCACTACTTTCCTTTCGAAACACCCACTCCTTTCCACACGCCCACTACTTTCCTTTCGAAACACCCACTCCTTTCCACACGCCCACTACTTTCCTTTCGACACACCCACTCCTTTCCACACGCCCACTACTTTCCTTTCGACACACCCACTCCTTTCCACACGCCCACTACTTTCCTTTCGACACACCCACTCCTTTCCACACGCCCACTACTTTCCTTTCGACACACCCACTCCTTTCCACACGCCCACTACTTTCCTTTCGACACACCCACTCCTTTCCACACGCCCACTACTTTCCTTTCGACACACCCACTCCTTTCCACACGCCCACTACTTTCCTTTCGATACACCCACTTGCCCATATTGGGATACAGTTACCCCCTTCTCTCATCATCTGCTCTGTAAGGAATAGGTGGTGGGCCGTAGCAAGCTATCTGCTTTAGTTTTAAAGATGATCTCTGTCGTGGGAGGAGCTGTATATTTATTTCTTCTGAACACATGTCAATTCTTGCAAAACATTTCCAAATACTTAATTTTATGTTTGTTAGCTGGACAGGCAAATGTCGCAGAGTATTAAACTGTAAACCAATCAAAACTTGTGTACTATCCATGGTACTATCTCTGCTGATCAAGTCTGCCAATCACGTTATCCGTATCTAAGGTAGTAGACAGCTGGTGACATCTCGAGAGATATCTCTGTCCGACAAACTGCTATCAGATAAAGTATTTTTGATTTATTTGTAATCTAACTATTTAGTTATAGAAATGTGATACCATCAATGCAAGCTGTAAAATGACTCCCAACTTAGAACACAGCAACCTTAGTAATGTAGCTATCTTGCTAGTTAGCTAGCTAGTTACAACAAGTAGATCTGTTGCTAGCTAGCAGGAGCAGATAGCTTTATCACGAGCTAGCATTTCATTCTAGGACAAGGAGCATTTTAGCTATCAGTTTATTCCAAGTAATAATTTAAGACTACGAAAATCTATAGGACAAGTAGTGTAAATCTAATACAGTCATCAAGGCAGGACCCACTAATTTCATTCATACTGACAAATAAAAAATGCCACATTATCCCTGTCAATAGTTGGAGTAGGATGATTGCATGGCACCCTGCCTCAGACTGTCAGAATGTTCATTTTCTAGCTCACAAACTACATTGCTTTGCTGTGATCATTTATTTTATTCATTCTTATCTCTCACTTTTGTCTCATGTGATATATTCAGCTCTTCTGTGTCCTGCTCCCAGAGATCAACCCAGTTCTATTCACCAAGCATAGGCTGATTCACTCACATGTGAGGAGAACCATCCTACTGCAGTTTGAACTAGCCCTGCCATCACTATTTAGACATTGAGACCACATATGCATTTGCCTTTTGGCTTTGGGGGTTTTGTCTTAAACATTTGCATTTTAGAGTTGAACGCCAACTACAAATAGGCTTGCTTGTTTGAGCATCTCGAAGACTAAATTCAATGTAGAATCAGTGTAACAGGTGACAAACGGTGGGGAGAATTATATTGTCCCAGTCAGGAGTCCAGGCTTTTGCCATATATGGTAGAGTTCTAGTCTCTGTACCACACAAGCACTTGTCTCTCTCTCTCTACATCGGTCAGCTACATTGGTGACCAGGGTGGGATCCTTTCGATACGCCTATGGGGCCTGGGCACACAAAATGCTCCTAGAGAGAAGTGGGAATACTGAAGCATGTGTTGATGACAATTCTACAGTCTCATCAGAGGCCCAGGCTTTTGGCATAGATGGTAAAGCTCTCATTTCTGGGCTGCAACGTTATAAGATTGTGCCTTCCGCGGCACTTGATATACATTGATTGGTAGGTTACACTATATTTAGATACTTCAAATACTGCCTAAGACACCTTTGCTATTTGTCTAACGTACTCAATAAATGGTGAAACAATATTTGTGATGGTGTTCTTTGTTCTAATGTACAGTTGAAGTCAGAAGTTTACATACACTAAGTTGACTGTGCCTTTAAACAGCTTGGAAAATTCCAGAATATGATGTCATGGCTTTAGAAGCTTCTGATAGGCTAATTGACATAATTTGAGTCAATTGGAGGTGTACCTGTGGATGTATTTCAAGGCCTACCTTCAAACTCAGTGCCTCTTTGCTTGACATCATGAGGAAATCAAAAGAAATCAGCCAAGACCTCAGAAAAACAATTGTAGACCTCCACAAGTCCGGTTCATCCTTGGGAGCAATTTCCAAACGCCTGAAGGTACCACGTTAATCTGTACAAACAATAGTACGCAAGTATAAACACCATGGGACCACGCAGCTGTCATACCGCTCAGGAAGGAGACGAGTTCTGTCTCCTAGAGATGAACGTACTTTGGTGCGAAAAGTGCAAATCAATCCCAGAACAACAGTAAAGGTGAAGATGCTGGAGGAAACAGGTACAAAAGTATCTATATCCACAGTAAAACGAGTCCTATATCGACATAACCTGAAAGGCCGCTCAGCAAGGAAGAAGCCACTGCTCCAAAACCGCCATAAAAAAGCCAGACTACGGTTTGCAACTGCACATGGGGACAAAGATCATACTTTTTTGGAGAAATATCCTCTGGTCTGATGAAACAAAAATAGAACTGTTTGGCCATAATGACCATCGATATGTTTGGAGGAAAAAGGGGAAGGCTTGCAAGCCGAAGAACACCATCCCAACCGTGAAGCACGGGGGTGGCAGCATCATGCTGTGGGGGTGCTTTGCTGCAGGAGGGACTGGTGCACTTCACAAAATAGATGGCATCATGAGGAAGAACAATTATGTGGATATATTGAATCAACATCTCAAGACATCAGTCAGGAAGTTAAAGATTGGTTGCAAATGGGTCTTCCAAATGGACAATGACCCCAAGCATACTTCCAAAGTTGTGCCAAAATGGCTTAAGGACAACAAAGTCAAGGTATTGGAGTGGCCGTCACAAAGCCCTGACCTCAATCCTATAGAACATTTGTGGGCAGAACTGAAAAAGCATGTGCGAGGAAGGAGGCCTACAAACCTGACTCAGTTACACCAGCTCTGTCAGGAGGAATGGGCCAAAATTCACCCAACTTATTGTGGGAAGCTTGTGGAAGGCTACCCGAAACATTTGACCCAAGTTAAACAATTTAAAGGCAATGCTACCAAATACTAATTGAGTGTATGTAAACTTCTGACCCACTGGGAAAGTGATGAAAGAAATAAAAGCTGAAAGAAATCATTCTCTCTACTTTTTTTCTGACATTTCACATTCTTAAAATAAAGTGGTGATCCTAGGGAATTTTTATTAGGATTAAATGTCAGGAATTGTGAAAAACTGAGTTTAAATGAATTTGGCTAAGGTGTATGTGAACTTCCGACTTTATAAATGAAACATACATTATGGAAAACATGTCCCACACTCAGTCAAAGTTAGTAGAATAATGAATGGATTGGCAAGATTTTGGCACCGTCAACTTTTAGAAGGTTAGTAGGAAAGTTAATCATTTAAACAACCTAAATATACTCAAATTCACTTAACATTTGATATTTGAAACTCCAACATTAATTTCCTAACTGCTTTCTCTATAATCCTACAGGCTCTTTATCGTTCTGCATTCCTTATATTCCAATGCATCCAACATTATACATGCCCAACATGGTATTGGGCAGCTGTTTTTTGAGGAACTCTATTCCTCTTGTTCCAGTCATGGGCTTCATCCGTTCCTTTTGTTGCAGACATGGGCTTCATCCGTTCCTCTTGTTCCAGTCATGGGCTTCATCCATTCCTCTTGTTGCAGTCATGGGCTTCATCCGTTCCTCTTGTTCCAGTCATGGGCTTCATCCGTTCCTCTTGTTCCAGACATGGGCTTCATCTGTTCCTCTTGTTCCAGTCATGGGCTTCATCTGTTCCTCTTGTTCCAGTCATGGGCTTCATCCGTTTCTCTTGTTCCAGACATGGGCTTACCAGCATCCTTTCAAGTAAATCAAACAGAAAATATTCATTTACATAAACAAAGTATACAAAAATCATCAGAACACAGCGTCTGTGATTGTTAGCTCGTAATTCTCGCATATCAGAGAATATACAGGATTTACAAGTATGCCTTTGTCATATTTTGTCAAAGTTTTCCGTCCCTGGTGCTATTCTGTGTTTTCTCCCTCATTGAACAGAGTAAATAATAGATTGTCTGTGATGTTTACCAATATGGATGTGTAGCGGAGCATCCGATGCAGTGGGATAACGAAGTGCTTGGCGTAGACCCCCTTGGAGAGCTTGGCTGTCTTAGCCTCCCCTGTAAGCCCAGCAACCATGGCACTCAGGTGCTCTTTGTGTTTGACACATAGCTAAGTCATCTTTCTGCAAGGGGAAAGAATATAAGTTAAAGATTGTAGCTAAAAGAAACACTAGGACATTATTTTCTAAAACTTGATACATCTTCCTTTTTGTAATGTGCTGTTTGTTTTTCAAAATAGTATAAACTAACCTCGGAGAGCTTTCATATCCTTTCAAATGTCTTCATTTGCCTATGTTGTTACAATATACACTGAGTAGACCAAACATTAGGAACATGGACTCTACAAGCTGTCGAAAACGTTCCACAGGGATGCCGGCCCATGTTGACTCCAACGCTTCCCACAGTTGTGTCAAGTTGGCTGGGGGTCCTTTGGGTGGTGGACCGTTCTTGATACACACAGGAAACTGTTGAGTGTAAAAAAAAACAGCAGCGTTGCAGTTCTTGACACAAACCGGTGCACCTGGCACCTACTACCATACCCTGTTCAACAAAGTCACTTAAATATTTTGTCTTGCCCATTCACCCTCTGAATGGCACACATACACAATCCGTCTCAGTTATCTCAAGTATTGAAAATCCTTCTTTAACCTGTCTCCTCCCCTTCATCTACACTGTTTGAAGTTGATTTAACAAGTGACATCAATAAGGGATCATAGCTTTCACCTGGATTCACCTGGTCAGTCTGTCATAGAAAGAGCAGGTGTTCTTAATGTTTTGTACACTCAGTGTATAGTCTAATCATTTTGTTATCTTGAATTCTGATATACTGAGCATTTTAGCAGTAGCAGCATAGCATACAGCAGGGGCGTGAATCGGTGTACCCAGGGGCTTGTGTGTGTTCAGCTGATGTGCGTGACATTAGGAAGATTATCAGGGAGGTATTTACATGTACTTGATCAATGTTAGACCACCAATTTATGTTGATTTCCTGGCATTCATGCCTTCAATAAGGATGTTTCACATTGGGGTGTGTGTGTTCAGCTGACGTGCGTGACATTAGGGACCTCATCCTGAGAGAAGAAGAGTAAAGAGTCCTAATGAGCAGGGAGGGAGGCCGTTGGTTCAGGAGTGGATACAGGAATAGAAATAATGAAGTCACTGTGGGGTTAGGAGCTGTTTATGTGGACAGTGACTATACATAAACTCTGTGGTCCAATGGGAGGTATTCTGCCCTCCTCAGAGTTCCAGACAAATACTCTGGTTCACATCTGCACAGTAATTGGATGGATGCGTTGTCGCCATTTTTTCCGATCTGGAATAACAAGGGCTGTTCTGGGACGGGTTTTGGCTTCCATTGTGTTTTAAAATAGATCACTCATACGGGAGAACAATGTTCCTTACATGATGCAAGATCACTGCTGGGGCTTTTGAAAAGCAAGCTGAAAAGCTTGAGGTCACTGTCCCTGCTGAATCACTTCTTATACAGTGATGAAAAAAAGTATTTGATCCCCTGCTGATTTTGTACGTTTGCCCACTGACAAAGACATGATCAGTCTATAATTTTAATGGTAGGTTTATTTGAACAGTGAGAGACAGAATAACAACAAAAAAATCCAGAAAAACACATGTCAAAAATGTTATAAATTGATTTGCATTTTAATGAGGGAAATAAGTATTTGACCCCTCTGCAAAACATTACTTAGTACTTGGTGGCAAAACCCTTGTTGGCAATCACAGAGGTCAGACGTTTCTTGTAGTTGGCCACCAGGTTTGCACACATCTCAGGAGGGATTTTGTCCCACTCCTCTTTGCAGATCTTCTCCAAGTCATTAAGGTTTCGAGGCTGACGTTTGGCAACTCGAACCTTCAGCTCCCTCCACAGATTTTCTATGGGATTAAGGTCTGGAGACTGGCTAGGCCACTCCAGGACCTTAATGTGCTTCTTTTTGAGCCACTCCTTTGTTGCCTTGGCCGTGTGTTTTGGGTCATTGTCATGCTGGAATACCCATCCACGACCCATGTTCAATGCCCTGGCTGAGGGAAGGAGGTTCTCACCCAAGATTTGATGGTACATGGCCCCGTCCATCGTCCCTTTGATGCGGTGAAGTTGTCCTGTCCCCTTAGCAGAAAAACACCCCCAAAACATAATGTTTCCACCTCCATGTTTGACAGTGGGGATGGTGTTCTTGGGGTCATAGGAAGCATTCCTCCTCCTCCAAACACGGCGAGTTGAGTTGATGCCAAAGAGCTCGATTTTGGTCTCATCTGACCACAACACTTTAACCCAGTTCTCCTATGAATCATTCAGATGTTCATTGGCAAACTTCAGACGAGCCTGTATATGTGCTTTCTTGAGCAGAGGGACCTTGCGGGCACCGCAGGATTTCAGTGTTTCACGGCGTAGTGTGTTACCAATTGTTTTCTTGGTGACTATGGTCCCAGCTGCCTTGAGATCATTGACAAGATCCTCCCGTGTAGTTCTGGGCTGATTCCTCACCGTTCTCATGATCATTGAAACTCCACGAGGTGAGATCTTGCATGGAGCCCCAGGCCAAGGGAGATTGCAGTTATTTTGTGTTTCTTCCATTTGCGAATAATCACACCAACTGTTGTCACCTTCTCACCAAGCTGCTTGGCGATGGTCTTGTAGCCCATTCCAGCCTTATGTAGGTCTACAATCTTGTCCCTGACATCCTTGGAGAGCTCTTTGGTCTTGGCCATGGTGGAGAGTTTGGAATCTGATTGATTGATTGCTTCAGTGGACAGGTGTCTTTTATACAGGTAACAAACTGAGATTAGGAGCACACCCTTTAAGAGTGTGCTCCTAATCTCAGCTCATTACCTGTATAAAAGACACCTGGGAGCCAGAAATCTTTCTGATTGAGAGGGGGTTAAATACTTATTTCCCTCATTAAAATGCAAATCAATTTATAACATTTTTGACATGCGTTTTTCTGGATTTTGTTGTTGTTATTCTGTCTCTCACTGTTCAAATAAACTTACCATTAAAATTATAGAATGATCATTTCTTTGTCAGTGGGCAAACGTACAAAATCAGCAGGGGATCAAATACTTTTTTCCCTCTCTGTACATGTGTTTCCAAGGTACAAACACCAAACACACACAAAATTGGTCTTAGGTGTGCTGAGAAAGTGATGTAATTTATCATGGCAATTTGTATGACCTCCAAAAGTCTTGATGTGTTCAAACTGTTAGTATATTGTGCCAGTATGTTATATAGAAGAAAATACAATCATTCTTCCATTACTACTCACTTTCTCTAACTGAATAGAGTTGAACCATGATTCTTGTAGTCTTCAGATGCTGCCTCTAGGTCTTACCCAGTTCAACACGTACATTTTGGGTTTGACAGTTCGGTTGAATCAATGTAAATCATTTTGAAAAGAGAGAGAAATGTTAGAGAGAGAAAATAACTGATCAGTATGGCACACCCATCCTATTGATGTAAGAATTTAATGACAACTGCAGATAACACTGATAAATCCATTCCATTTGATTAGTACCTGCATTTTCAATAATCTACTTTCTAGTAAGGCATTAGTGTATATACTGTTGATGAGAAGAAAATGAAAAGCTATTGGCCATTTTAATATCAATAAATTAGATGGCAATAAAATGACTGTTTTGCAGTTTTATATTAGTCAGGGAAAAATGCCTTGAAAAAGATGCATCAATAAATAAACCCTGCTCTATAAATCCTAATGAAAGGGGGAAGAAAATCCAATACTATGAAAGCTGACACCTGCTGCGGAAAACAGCAAAAGGGAAAACGATGCTTAAATTGCACCTTGCAGGGTACAGTATATGTTTCCAGGGTATTCTAATTCAAACAAGAATACTAATGACTTCATGAAAATGGGAAAATGGAAATAGCTAATAGGCCTTGTTATTCATATTGTGGCGTCAAAGTGTTTTAATTAAGTAATCAACAGTGTACAACAGAAGCCGCAGTACGACATCACAACGTGCAGGACAGAATCTGCATGATTATCAATTCACTGTAGGGCTGCGAATTGCCAGGGACCTCACCATACGATATTATCATCATACTTAGGTGCCGATACGATATGTATTGCGATTCGTTACTGTGATTGTATTGTGATTTGACGTTACAAACATATTGCTCTCTATGTGTCTTCTGCAGAGAGACAAGAGAGCGTGTGAGAAAATGAGTTTTGGTCAATCAAGGGAATAAATGTGCTGAAAATATGTTGGCTCACTATTTAAAGGAAAATTCCACCTCAAAACAACAACACCATGAAATAAAGCTGACGCAAAGTATGATGCAAAACGCAGCATCTCTATGACGCAAAACGCAGCATCATATGATGCAAAATGCATCATACTGGCCTTATTTCTGTATTTTAAAAGTTATATATCTTGAAAACTTGATAGCTGACATGCAAAACATTTTGGGACTATATCAACAAGGGACCAATTAAACACATTTCAAAAGATAGTTTTTGGGTGGAGGTTAAAACAAGTTTTGGCGCAGGTACAGCTGACTAGCGCTAACCAACACTACCTACAGTAGGAAAATAAAGTATAATACTTGGAGTCAAATATCGATATAATGTCATCAAACAATATATCGCGTTATGTAACAGTATTGATTTTTTTCCCACATCACTAGTGTCCTTAGTCTCTATGGAGTGACCATGTAACAAAACAACTGTTGTATAGTTGAGAACTACCATCTGTGGAATGAATAACGATGAATGACCTTTCTAAATCGTTTTTTATTACTTTTGACCGTTTGTGTTGCTTTCCAATGTTTGCTTTGTGAATTCATGAATGTACAGTTAGGGCACACACAGTAGAGTCGATGATGTTATTAACATGATGAAATTGATTAGCATTATAATTAAACTTGCATTTGCACTTTACATTACTACCTCTAAAGGTGCACTTAATGTACACTTTAACTAATATATTTAAATTATACGGTAATTTGGGGTATTATCAACAGTAAAATACTCTGACACTTTTTACTGCAGCGTACTGCAAATTAATATTAACTATATATGAGTCAATATTGTGTACGGATCATTATGGTGCATTGGTGCATTTACATTTACATTTGAGTCATTTAGCAGACGCTCTTATGCAATAGTGGTACTGTAATTCCACCCCATAGAATACTTTAGAGTGCCAAAAACCTTTTGACCACTATTGAGTGATTGGTATTGTTTCTGGCTCATTAACATATTTGGAGGCGTGCCTTGTAAGTGGCTATATTTGTTGCACCCCGTGAGAGAGAACGCTGTACCAATTTAACTCCTATGTGGTTATAGTGCCCCATCACTGTCAAATGTATAGGGGACAGATTGGAGTGGCAGCAAGTCTTAAACCTTAAAATGGTTGAGCTGTTTTGCTCTGTTGTCGCTGCCAGTTTGGAAGCCTTTGTTAAGGCCTCTAGAAGTGCAAGTGATATAAAACACCAAATATTCATTAATGTGTAACACTTTACCTAACAGCTAATCTGCTTGTACCAATCCCTTGTAATTACAGTAAAATAATGTGAAATACAACCCCCTCCCCTCAATGCATTTAATTCATCCATTCATTCATTCATTGCGATTAAGGTAGCATTTTTTTTTTTTTTTTACAGCATAATACAGCCAATTTTACGGTATTGTACTGTGTTATTACACAGTACTTGCTTTGATACCGTATTGATATTACAGTAGGTATACTGTAATTTTGACTTTTACAGTGTAACTGTAGTGACGCTGCATGAATGATGAGAAACGTACATATTATTTAACCCTGCCTGTTCTCTCCCTCCTCTCTTCCTCCTCTCTCTTTCCTCTCTCCCTCCTCTCTCCTCTTCATCCTCTCTCCTTCCTCTCTCCCTCCTCTCTCCCTCCTCTCTTCCTCATCTCTCCTTCCTCTCTGCCTCCTCTCTCCTTCCTCTCTCCCTCCTCTCTCCTTCCTCTCTCTCCCTCCTCTCTTCCTCTCTCCCTCGTCTCTTCCTCGTCTCTCCTTCCTCTCTTCCTCCTCTCTCCTCCTCTCTCTGTTTGTCTGCAGAGGTTTGTGGGGAACGTGAACGCTGACGGTGTCGTCCACCACAAGTTGTCCCACTCTATCAGAAGCCGCTTCCTGCGCTTCGTCCCCCTGGACTGGAACCCCAGTGGCTGGGTGGGTCTCAGAGTGGAGGTCTACGGCTGTGCCTACAGTGAGTGATCAGACCACCAGTACTTACATACAGACCATATAGGCTGTGCCTACATTAAAATGACCACCAGCCCTTACAGAACACAAACACATTCAGCTAATATCATAATATTCTGCTATCTGTGATTCCAACCCATGTGGTATTCTTGGGGACTCCTGGACTGCATAGAAAATTGTTCTAACAAGAGTTTGGTCAGACCTGTGTCTGACATCTATTACGGATGAAATTGAGGCTTGTTTAAGCATGTCATCTATCATGGGGCTGATTGTATCCCCATTTTGACTGTGGTTTCCATGAGAAAATAGCATTATGTCATTGTAACCATCCTGTAACCATCGTGTAACCACTGTGTAGCCATCATGTAACCATCCTGAAACCATTGTGTAACCATCCTGTAACCACAGTGTAACCATCATGTAACCACCCTGTAACCATTGTGTAACCATCATGTAACCATCTTGTAACCATCCTATTTCGCACACTATTTAAGGACTGTATAGAGTATCTGCAAACTAAAGAGACATTTTTCCTTCAAACAAGATCAAAGCAAATGCTGACCGAACATAATCCTACCAGCTAATAGAGGTAGACAGTGACAGCCAGGCAGGCGTGCCAGTTAAGAGCTGGTCTCTGCCTGGGTAATGCTAAACAAATAAAAGGGAGTCACTGGGACGCCTTGCACACACATGAACTGGATCAGCCAGTGAAATACTGCACTGTGACGGTTAGAATTATCCCCGAGTGAGCACTTTCATAATGCCGAATGGTTCCACAGCGTGATCCCTGTATTAATGCTGGACGAATGTGTGATCTGCTAGTACATGCTTCATCACCAGCACCTCATTTCAACTAACTGTAAAAATTAAACGACAGGTTGCTCTCGCAACAAGCAAGTAAAGAGGCGTGCATTACCGTTTAACATGTCATAGATGACAGACTTGCACTTATGGGCCTTTCCACCAATTAGGTTCCTTTTGAGTAGTGTAACTTGGTAAAACAAATATATTTATATATATATATATATATATATATATATATATATATATATATATATATATATATATATATATATATATATATATATATATATATATATATAATTCACCTAATTCTAACATGCTGTCATAAAGAGCACATGTTCAACTTAATAAAAAACATGTTTTCCCATCTCGAAAAAACTATAGTAAGTTCTTATTAAGTTCCAAATAAAGTAACAGGGTTTACTTGTGACAGGGGGAATGGAAGCTTGCTGTGTGCAACAGGGAAGGGCAATTGAATGCAAGCTTCACAAAACAATTGAAATTGTTAACACATTTCTAGCCAGTCTATCTATGGGTAACAGGGTTGACGTGTTACGCTCAACCCGCTCAGTGTTCCGCCACAAAACACCAGAAAATGTCCAAAATGAGTAACACTAGCTCACCTTCTTTAAACTATGATTTGTCTATTAGTTGTTCAACATATTTACCATATTACAACTACAGTTCAGTTCACGTAACAGGGTTGACCTTAAAATTAATCGCTTATCACATTAAATGAATAATAATCTTCAGCAATGACTTTGTGAAAGCAACAAAGTAACTAAGGGCTTTACAATGACGGTGAAACTGTTGCTAAATGTTGGGATTGAGTGGTTAAACATCTTCTTAGAAGTCACAGAGGATGCACAGATGGACATGTAAAAATGCTGAGTTTTGATACAAGTCTTTATTCATATAAAACATCTGGAGAAAAGCTATTCTGTAGACTCACGTCCATGTCGACCCCATGTTTATCTCATTTTGGTTTTCAGTCACACTTCAGATCTATAAAGGGTCCAAACATCTGAGTTATTTTCACTAATAATCACTTGAACTGTTCTTGCTTTTGTTCTGTTCTTGCTACCAGCTGTAGCTCAGCTGGTAGAGCACGGCGCTTGTAACGCCAAGGTAGTGGGTTCGATCCCCGGGACCACCCATACACAAAAATGTATGCATGCATGACTGTAAGTCGCTTTGGATAAAAGCGTCTGCTAAATGGCATATTATTATTATTATTATTATTATTCTGAGCATTCCCCAGCATTGCCATGGTGCCCTGTTGTAATTGATAGCATGGTTATGTATATCCATCTCATACCAGCTATGTTACTAGCGTTTATATTTGGGTATATCCATATGGGTAAAAACCTTGGAGTTTAAATTAATCCTGGCCTTTTATGTCTCACAGTGACTTCCACTGTAAAACAATACCTTCTCATTAGATTGAGTAAAAGGTAGGGGAATTCTAGCATGGTGTTTGTGTGTTTATGAATGTGTTAGACATTCTTTAAATAAGTGATAGTTCAAAAAACTATTTGCATTGTCATGTATATGTAAACGCTATTTGAACAGCTTGCCCAATCATGTCTTCTATTCATAGCTTCCCTTGTTTCTCTAGGCACTTCACACTTCTTCTGTCCTGCATTGGAATAGCAGGTGCATGTTAGAGATTGCAATATTTATTCAGACAGCTTTACTTACACGAACTGAATCCCATCAGAAAATATAATGTATTCAGGCTTTAAAAAAACAGGAAATCAACATTTCCCCTGCTGCTGTATCTTACTAAAGCATGTCTTCAGTTCAGGCCCATCCACATGAACTGAGCACTGAGCAGAGGCACAGTGTCAGAGAATGTATTAGACAGAGCCAGAGAGTTGTGTTAAAAAATAGCAAGTTCGACGTATACTTCCAATCAAAAGTTGTGGTGAAAATACAATACTGTTGAAAGAAATGGGACTTGCCACTTGAATTCCCCTCAAAAGTAGTGGCAACAGAACACTCACAGCTCAGACGTGACAGAGAGAGCTATCGTTGGGGAAATTTTCGAAAAACACAATGATTCTTTGATCTTCTCTCAATCCCCGTCTAGAATCGTATGTGGCAGACTTTGATGGCAGAAGCTCCCTGCTCTACCGGTTTAATCAGAAGTCCATGAGCACGGTGAAGGATGTGATCTCGCTACACTTCAAGAGCCACCAGGCTGAGGGGGTGCTGCTCCATGGAGAGGGTCAGAGGGGCGACTACATCACTCTGGAGCTGCACCGGGGCAGGTTGGCCCTCTACCTCAACCTGGGTGAGTTAGTCACATTGGGGCAGGCTGGCCCTCTACATAAACCTGGGTGAGTTAGTCACACCGGGGCAGGTTAGCCCTCTACCTCAACCTGGATGAGTTAGTCACACAGGGGCAGGTTGGCTCTCTACCTCATCCTGGGTGAGTTAGTCACACCGGGGCAGGCTGGCCCTCTACATCAACCTGGGTGAGTTAGTCACACAGGGGCAGGTTGGCTCTCTACCTCATCCTGGGTGAGTTAGTCACACCGGGGCAGGCTGACCCTCTACATCAACCTGGGTGGGTCGCTGGCCCTGAACCTCAACTTGGGTGAGTCGCTGGCCCTGTACCTCAACAAGGGTGAGTCGCTTGCCATCTACCTCAACCTTGGTGAGTCGCTGGCCCTATACCTCAACTTGGCTCAAATAGGTCAGGGGTTAGAGGTTAGAGGTCATGGGTAACAGGACACAAGGGGCTCGGGCTATAGATAGAAGAGTCTTTTGAACCATTTAAAAGCAGACTGGGGAGCAGTCTGGGAGGGTAACTGGATGTTTGTGTTCTGATACTCTTCAGATGATACCAGGCTGCGGTTCAGCAGTGGTCGTGTTGCGGTCACTCTCAGCAGTCTTCTGGACGATCAGCACTGGCACTCTGTCCTCATCGAGCGCTTCAACAAGCAGGTCAACCTCACCGTGGACACCCACACACAGCACTTCAGGACCAAGGGGGAAGGAGACTCTCTGGAGGTGGACTATGAGGTGTGTCTATCCAAACATCCAGAATATTCCTTTACAGTAGGTCTGAATAGATTACACCACCAGCACTCAGTCAGAAAAAGAACGTATGGCATGGTGAGAGTTAAGAATAATACTTGGGGTCCTATTTTAACAAACCTAACGCGATGGTAAATCTTAAGTGATTGGCGGTAGCGCTATAGGTTCACTATCACAATTATCGGCGCACTCGCTGGTGTTGGTACGAAAGGGCCGGGTTATGATGAATAAACAAGTTGTGGGTGTGTCGAGACTTGGCCCCTGACTGGCCAATCAGAACATGCTCCATGGCGAAATATGTGGTTGCTTCAGGTTATCTATTCACGGTCTTATATGTATTGCCTTGGGAATCAACTCCAATTCCAATGTTAGTCTGTTATAGTTTGTTAAATGGCTTACATAAACTAATTAACACAATGTACACCTATCCCATCTTTGCTAAATAGGTTAACTTGAACCCATTTGTAGTCCACATTGATACAGGGCCTACTGTAAATTGCATTATGGTTGAGCATGGACATGCCAAACATTGTCAATAAGCAAGATTCAATTCATTATTGACAAGGTCAAAAAGAGAACTAATAATTCGAATCAAATTCTAAATTCTAAATCAACTTGTTTCAAATAGGCTATGACACACTTACAGGAACCATCATTTCTCCCCGTGGGCATATAATATTAAAACAATGCAGACTATGGAGGGTTTTACGCACATCCAAAAGAAGTACCTGCATGGCTAAAATAATGTGGGCCTGCCTACAATGCATAGATAAAAAGGGAATGTCAATGCACTGTCTCAAACTTTATATTTTAATAAAGCTTTGGTGATTAAGATTTATTTCCAAGCGGTCTCAGGAGCCAAACCCTTTATCGACAGTCTTGACTACTTCGCGGTTGCATTGGTCAGACAAAAAAAAAGCCTTCATTGAGAGGAGGGAAGGCTATGCTTGGTTAGTCATAAAATAAAACGAAATTGGAAAAACAGTCTCTTTTTTTAATGTTTCTAAATACGAAGTATACAGGCACCAAAAGCAGATTATGCTACTCTTGTTCCATGTGCATATGGGCAGTGGGCATCATGGCTGGATAGGCTGCATTTCCGCAGTCAAAATTCATGCCATAACCAACTGCGTTAATGCTAACACCAGCTTTTGGTTGCTCTTAAATATCCCTGTCAGCGCTGCCTGAAATTAGCACTTGGATCATGTTTTTAAGGACACACCTCAAATATTTCCACCCACCCATCTGAGCGCAAGGAGCTGATATAAGACAGGTAAATTGCCGAACCTGGCGTTAAGGCTGAAAAATGCCAGTGCGCCAGTTTTTACATGACGAAATTGCAAACTAGCGAGCGTTTGACACTGCCGTCGCTTTAACGCCAGCCGACAATAGAGCCCTTGGTCTATCTCTTTAGAATCTCTTTTCAACGTGACACCTGACACTGTACATTCATAGGACTTTTCTTCTATTTCGTTCTAACATGTCTATATTTCACTCTCTTTCCTCATCATAGCTCAGTTTCGGGGGCATCCCACTGCCAGGTAAGCCTGGTACCTTCCTGAGGAAGAACTTCCATGGCTGCATCGAGAACCTCTACTACAATGGGATCAACATCATCGACCTAGCCAAGCGACGCAAGCCTCAGATCTACAGCGTGGTAAGAGCTTTTCAACTATTCATTTTTAATGTATAGGCCAAGGCCCAGGTTTATTTTGCACTGCGTTACCAAGATATTCACTTATGTAAGTGATAATGCTCCATTGTGTTAGAAGTGGAGGTTAACAACACCTAACCTTAGAGAGCCAGAGGACCAGAACAGTTGTTGCTTAATAAACCGTCAGACTGCAGATAGGGAAACAGGGGATACAGAGTGCATGGTGAGAACCACTCTGAGCTCAGAAAACAGTGTTCTATGTTCTTCTCTTGTTCTTATTTTGGAAAAGAGATCCGGGCTCAGTGATGAGGTGGAGCAGGAGCTGTATCCAGTGATCCATTCAGTATAGAGGTATTAGTAGTAGGATAGAGGCAGATTGCATTATTTAAGGTAGATGTCAGGGTCTTGTGCAGACCCTAAATGACACATCTTAATGGATATTAACCTTAAGTAACCTTCTGGCTCAGCCCCAAACACAAGGGGTGTGACGCGCAGCGGGTATCACCTTACCTCTAAAAACGAATCCGCTAACACTGAAATAGAGCTAACATAAGTTATCAATGATTTCTGAACACAATAAGCCTGTGTGAGTCAGTGTCAGCCTATTGAAACAGAATCACTCTGAAATCAAGTTTGGTTGAGTTGATGGAAGAGTCCCTTTGAAAGGGTTAGTTGCTGCCACTCCATGTCACCGCGATCAATGATATGTTCATCCCCACACTGCTCTGACCTTTTCCTGTGTACAGGAACTCATGTCCTCTGTACTGGCTCTTCCTGTCCTTAGGAGTCACAGTGGGGTTGGCAGTGACATTTAACCCAGCTCCCTGTAGACTTCATTTAGTCTCTCTCATTCCCTCGTTCTCTCTCTCTCTCTCTCTCTCTCTCTCTCTCTCTCTCTCTCTCTCTCTCTCTCTCTCTCTCTCTCTCTCTCTCTCTCTCTCTCTCATTCTCGCTCTCTTACTCTCTCTTTTCCCCCTCATACTATGTCTCTCCATCTCTTTCTCTCTATCGATACTGCACCTGTTTTTCTCTCTTTCTCCATCTCTTTCTCTCTTTCTCCATCTCTCTCTCTCTCTTTCTCCATCTCTCTCTCTCTTTCTCCATCTCTCTCTCTCTTTTTCCATCTCTCTCTCTCTTTCTCCATGTAGTCCCGTGTAGCTCAGTTGGTAGAGCATGGCGTTTGCAACGCCAGGGTTGTGGGTTCGATTCCCACAGGGGACCAGTATGCACTCACTATCTGTAAGTCGCTCCTGATAAGAGCGTCTGCTAAATGACTAAAATAGTTTTTCTTTTTAAAATATCTCTCTCTCTCTTTCTCCATCTCTTTCTCTATTTCTCTCCTTTCTAGAAAGGGGGCCAGTAGGGAGTGTTTGTAGTAATTAATAGCAGCACTACACTTGCAGAGTTGACATCATTTTTTAATTAACCCTGAAATGTTGAGAGTTAATGTGGATCAGGGCAAGGTGACTGTAAGATTGTGTGTTCCGTGTGTCTCCAGGGCAACGTGACCTTTTCGTGCTCTGAGCCCCAGCTGGTGTCCACTACCTTCCTGAGCTCCAGCAGCAGCTTCCTGTCGCTCCCGGCCACGCCGTCTGCTTCGGGGGGCTTCACGGTGCGTTTCCAGTTCAGAACGTGGAACCCAGACGGGCTACTGCTCTCCACCCGGCTGGCCCTGGAGCCCCAGAGACTGGAGCTGCACATCAGCAACAGTCGGCTGCGCCTGACCCACCACATGTCAGCCCAGCAGAAAGAAGAGGTCTCCACCGGTGAGGGCCAGGCCAACAGCCTCTAGTCTAGCTGACCCAGACCAATACTAGGCTGGAATCAGTGGTTCTGTCTATGGGGACTCAGAGTATAAAAGGCTCTTTATTCCAGTGAAGCAGGCGGACAATGAGAACCCATTTTATTATTGCAGAGAATGCATTTGTGACTCTGAATGTTTGTGGTTTTCCACACAGATAGTCTGATAGTGATAGGAAAGATTATGAGAGAGAATCCATTCAGTTGGCTCTGTGCTTCTCCCTTCTGAGTCCACACACAAAGATAAGCATTTGATTTAGTCAATTTTTCCCACCATGGGGAGATTAAATATGCTCTGTCTCGCTAATCCTGTAGAAATAACTAAATCCAAAAACACAGAATCCCTCCACGCAGACAGACAGACAGACAGACAGGCAGGCAGGCAGGCAGACATGCAGGCAGGCAGGCAGGCAGGCAGACAGACAGACAGACAGACAGACAGACAGACAGACAGACAGACAGACAGACAGACAGACAGACAGACAGACAGACAGACAGACAGACAGACAGACAGACAGACAGACAGACAGACATGCATGCATGCATGCATGCATGCATGCATGCATGCATGCATGCAGACAGGCAGGCAGGCAGGCAGGCTGGCAGGCAGGCAGGCAGGCAGACAGACATAGTTAGGTTTGAACCGTCTGTGTCTGTGTTCTCATTTTGGACTGATCTCAATCACTACAACAGAATCCAGATATGATCAGAAAAAACATACAGAGGTCTTCCTCCATCTGTTGCATGTCAGAGGTCGTCCTCCATCTGTTGCATGTCGGAGGCTTTTCAGAGTCAATGTTTGCACCAGGTGTGCATTTTTTGTTTGTTTCAAACTATTTACTGCCTGAAATCTAGCGCATTTAATCGCATTCCATAGTAATTCTCCTAGCCTGCAACCTCACTCTAACCCTGCAGGCAGATGGCAAGCACAGAGGGGATTGTAGACACACAGCTTGGATGCCCTTCACTGTAAAAGCCTGAGTTTAATTAAATAAAAAAGCAAAGATTATACCTCTGAGGTTTTTCCATTGGTTCCTTCTCAAAATGGAACCACAAACACAACAGACTGCGTGTTGTGGGTGATCCTTTGTTTATTTGATAGTGTGAGGGAAACGATATGAAATGTGTGTGTAGCGTGGAGGGAGAGCCAGAAAGTCAACACCAGCAACAGAGTGATTGCAGAGCTTTGTTGCAGACAAACAAGATTATAAATCTAAATATAAAACTGTACTCTAAAATTGTTTTCTTAAAAAGCTTTTGTAACAGTGTAGTTACTATTGTAAAACCGCAGTCATATGCAGAGATTGATCGGGTCTTGATAAACTGTTTAACTCATAACTGACCCCATGTGTCCACAGGTCACAAAGTGAATGATGGACTGTGGCACTCTGCGAGTCTCAGCTCCCGAGGTCTCCAGGTCACCATGACTCTGGACAACGAGCCGTCCTCAACTATCGAGCTGGGGGACCACATGGAGGCAGGAGACAGCCTCTACTTCGGAGGTAAGAGGACAGATAATATGACCAAAAGTTGATTAGGTTTTAAAATATGTTTGGGTATTTACAGTAGAAACTCAACGACTTGATAAAACTGGGGACTGTAATACCTACGAAGCCTCACTCTTTGGCAACGTCACTGCAGTGCCTTAGTGGAGCTTAATTGACATTGCCTTGTAGGCAAAGATGTACTTAATACATCCCTGTACAGACTTTAGCTTCCAGAACTTGCCATGTAAATCTAAAATCTTCTGATAGCTGGCGTTTTATTAAGCTGCTTTTAAAAGGCTTCAACTTGCATAGTGGCATGTCTTGACAGGTTTAACTCTGCTCTCTCTTTTTTTTGGCGACTTCTCTCTCAGCCATAACAGAGATTAAAAAACTGTACATGATTGTCACACTTAAGAAGAATAAAACAATATTAATGTACATGTACTGTTTAGATCATTTTCATTTTCGCAATTTCTGCTTGCATGTCTCCAGTCAGTAAACCAGTCAGCACACCACCCTCTTAGCATCTTAACATATTTGTGTAAGCCTCTTTTGTTGCATTATTACAGTAGAAGCTGATTTGGGATGTGTTTGGTTACATAAACGTCCCTCTGCTGTGTGTTCCATTAGGCTGTCCCTCCTCGTCCCCGAGTGACTCATGCTGTGAGAACTCAACGTTGGCATTCCAGGGGTGCATGCGTCTCTTCTCCATCAACAGCCAGCCCATGGACCTGAACCTGGTGCACCAAGGACGGCTAGGAGACTACAAGGAGCTGCAGTTTGACACATGTGGCATCCATGACAGGTATCACAATTACTGTATACAGTATTTGAATTTTGAAGTGATGTGCCAATGTGGCAATGTTGCACTTAAAGCACATGCATGGGACTTTTGTTTTTAGCTTTTGCAACTAACCCCAAATTTTACATTTGATTATTGTCAGACTTTGTTCCAGCAGCTATGTTTGGATTGTGCAAGCACATAATTGCTGTCTCCTCATTTGATGCTATGGTGCTGGTACAAACCGTTGTCGTTTATTTTGGACCTGAAGCTTGTGAAATCATTTTCTCACAAGTGTAAGTAAGTGAACATGAACTAAGGCAGGGGACCTGTGAAGCCAGTCATATCTTCAGGGTCTACAGAAATTCATGAGAAGGTTGTGTAATTATAGAAACCTGCCAGTCATCTCTTCATGGTCTACAGTAATTCATGAGAAGGTTGTGTAATTATAGAAACCTGCCAGTCATCTCTTCATGGTCTACAGTAATTCATGAGAAGGTTGTGTAATTATAGAAACCTGCCAGTCATCTCTTCATGGTCTACAGTAATTCATGAGAAGGTTGTGTAATTATAGAAACCTGCCAGTCATCTCTTCATGGTCTACAGTAATTCATGAGAAGGTTGTGTAATTATAGAAACCTGCCAGTCATCTCTTCATGGTCTACAGTAATTCATGAGAAGGTTGTGTAATTATAGAAACCTGCCAGTCATATCTACAGTGTCTACAGTAATTCATGAGAAGGTTCTGTAATTATAGAAACTTGACAGGTTCCTTTGATGCCTACATTAAAAACTGTTGATTGGTACTCTGCTTTCGACAGTGTCTCTAATTAACTGTGACTGATTGCAAGAGTGAAGTTTTACTGTACAATTTGGGTAACACTTTATCTGGATACTCCATGGTCTACAGACTATCTACAGATTGTCAGTAACATTTCAACTAACTATCTACAAACCCTAACCCTAGCTCTAACCCTAACCTTAACCCTTATCCTAACCCTTATTCTAAACCTAACCGTAACCTTAGCAAGCAGTTGCTTATCAAGAGATAGTTTGTTGATAGCATGACCATCTGTAGATCAAATAAAATAAAATAAAATTATATTTGCCACATGCGCCGAATACAACAGGTGTACACCTTACAGTGAAATGCTTACTTACAAGCCCTTAACCAACAATGCAGTTTTATGAAAACTTTAAAAAATATATTAGATGTATACTATACTTTAAAATGTATATCCATCTGCACAAAATTGAAAGCTCTCTCTCACAACCCCTGCTCACAGACACATGTTGGTTCTGGGATATGCAACCATTTCCTTTCTCACTTACTTAACGCCACACTTATTCAAACACCAAAACGCACACCACGCCTTCCATCACAATTCATCCACACATATCCCCACACTGTGCCTTCTGTTTGCTATGGTTTTATCTCCACTCTGTTGATTGAGTACTTGTGTTCTAATTTAGTTGTATTTGAAGATGTATTATTTAGCTTGTTATCTTTTCTTGTAATACTGTCTTATCCCTTTATAAATTACTATACCTACTATAAATATGTTTTATTATTACAATCCCTACCATGACTAGTACATTTTTACATTTTAGTCATTTAGCAGATGCTCTTATCCAGAGCAACTTACAGTTAGTGAGTGCATACATTTTCATACTGCCCCCCCCGGGAATCAAACCCACAACCCTGGCGTTGCAAACGCCATGCTTTACCAACTGAGCTACAGAGAGCCTAGTATTGGGTGTTCCATTATTCGACTCCTCTATTAGAACTTTCAGAATAGCCATGGAGTAGGGCCATGCCCTGTTTACTGTTGGTAAACATATTTCATTATAGTGATTGTGTTCCCCAAACTCTAATATATGAATTTTCATCTGTAGATGATCTAAAACTGCATTTGATTGTAACTTCCTGTCACGATCGCCTAAGAAGTATGACCAAAGCGCAGCGTTGGGAGTGAACATCTTGACTTTAATAATTCAACACGAGAATACAAAACAAACCACGATCGTGAAGTCCTCAGTGACAACTACTGAACAATGAACAAAAACCCACAACCCCAAGGTGAACAATGACAGTTTAAATATGGCTCCCAATCAGAGATAACGAGCCGACAGCTGACACTCGTTACCACTGATTGGGAGTCACTCAACCAAACACAGAAACAACCAATAACCACCCAACCAACCCAAACACAACAATACTTAACACACTCTGGCTAAAATACCAAGTCCCGGAACCAGAGCGTGACAGTACCCCCCCCTAAAGGCGCGGACTGCGACCGCGCCTCAAAAACCCAAATAGGGGAGGGCTGGGTGGGTGTTGCTCCTCGGAGGCGGCTCCGTCTCCGGGCTTGACCACCACCCTACATAACTCCCCCCGTAATGGCCCCGGTCCAATCCAACCCAGCTGGCTGGATCCAAACTGATGACGCGCACCCCTAGCTTGGCGCGTGAGACAGGAACGGACCGGACCTGGCCGACGATACGCACCCTCGGCTTGGTGCGTGGAGCCGGAACGGACCTCCTCAGGTTGACGACTCGCCTCCCTGGCTTGGTGCGAGTAGCAGGAATAGGCTGAACCAGGTTGACGACTCGCCCCCTTAGCCTGGTGCGAGTGGCAGGAACAGTCCGGGTTGGGCCGGCGACGCACACCGTAGTCTTGGTGCGTAGAGCAGAGACAGGCCGGGCTGGGCTGGCGACGCACCCCCTAGGCTTGGTGCGTAGAGCAGGGACAGGCCGGGCTGGGCTGGCGAAACGCACCACAGACTTGGTGCGGGGCGCAGGAACAGGCCGGGCTGGGCTGGCGACGCACCCCGTAGGCTTGGTGCGTAGAGCAGGGACAGGCCGGGCTGGGCTGGCGAAACGCACCACAGACTTGGTGCGGGGCGCAGGAACAGGCCGGGCTGGGCTGGCGACGCACCCCGTAGGCTTGGTGCGTTGAGCAGGGACAGGCCGGGCTGGGCTGGCGACGCGCACCGTAGGTTCAATGCGAGGAACAGGAACAGACAGAACCGCACTGGGGACACACACCCCTGGCCCTACACGGGGATCAGGAACGGGCCGGACTGGACTGGTAACACACCCCAGTACCTCTCGCCGTGCCTCCACACTTTCCTTCCCCTTCGTAACCAGTGGCCCCCTTAAACTGGCGGCCATATCTGCCAACCTCTTGCACTCCTCCGGGCCGTACACCTTCTGCCCCGACGTCGTGAGCCCCCCCCTAAAAATTTTCTGGGGGTCTCTCCTCCCCGTGGACCAGGCATCTATCTTCCTCGCCAGACTCTCCAGACTCTCCATCCTCTGCTCCCAAGTCCAACCTCTCTCCTCCTCACGCGGCTTGACCCAGTCGAAGTGGATATCCGCTAGAGTTGCTTCTGGCGTTGGCTCCTGGACACGCTGCTTGGTCTCGTTGTGGTGGGTTTTTCTGTCACGATCGCCTAAGAAGTATGACCAAAGCGCAGCGTTGGGAGTGAACATCTTGACTTTAATAATTCAACACGAGAATACAAAACAAACCACGATCGTGAAGTCCTCAGTGACAACTAGAGATCCTGGTCTCCCGAGTGGCGCAGTGGTCTAAGGCACTGCATCGCAGTGCTAGCTGTGCCACTAGAGATCCTGGTTCGAATCCAGGCTCTGTCGTAGCCGGCCGTGACCGGGAGACCCATGGGGCGGCGCACAATTGGCCCAGCGTCGTCTAAGGTAGGGAAGGGAATGGCCGGCAGGGGATGGTAGCTCAGTTGGTAGAGCATGGCGTTTGCAACGCCAGGGTTGTGGGTTCGATTCCCACGGGGGGGGTATGAAAAAAATTAATAAATAAAAATAACAATAATGTATGCACTCACTAACTGTAAGTCGCTCTGGATAAGAGCGTCTGCTAAATGACGTAAATGTAAATGTAAACTACTGAACAATGAACAAAAACCCACAACCCCAAGGTGAACAATGACAGTTTAAATATGGCTCCCAATCAGAGATAACGAGCCGACAGCTGACACTCGTTACCACTGATTGGGAGTCACTCAACCAAACACAGAAACAACCAATAACCACCCAACCAACCCAAACACAACAATACTTAACACACTCTGGCTAAAATACCAAGTCCCGGAACCAGAGCGTGACACTTCCATCAATGTAATTGTCTGCATCACTTCCAATCCCCCATGTTTATATATATATATATATATATATATATATATATATATATATATATATATATATATACAGTGGGGAGAACAAGTATTTGATACACTGCCGATTTTGCAGGTTTTCCTACTTACAAAGCATGTAGAGGTCTGTAATTTTTATCATAGGTACACTTCAACAGTGAGAGACAAAAATCCAGAAAATCACATTGTATGATTTTTAAGTAATTAATTTGCATTTTATTGCATGACATAAGTATTTGATACATCAGAAAAGCAGAACTTAATATTTGGTACAGAAACCTTTGTTTGCAATTACAGAGATCATACGTTTCCTGTAGGTCTTGACCAGGTTTGCACACACTGCAGCAGGGATTTTGGCCCACTCCTCCATACAGACTTTCTCCAGATCCTTCAGGTTTCGGGGCTGTCGGGGCAATACGGACTTTCAGCTCCCTCCAAAGATTTTCTAATGGGTTCAGGTCTGGAGACTGGCTAGGCCACTCCAGGTCCTTGAGATGCTTCTTACGGAGCATCTCCTTAGTTGCCCTGGCTGTGTGTTTTGGGTCGTTGTCATGCTGGAAGACCCAGCCACGACCCATCTTCAATGCTCTTACTGAGGGAAGTATGGTTGTTGGCCAAGATCTCGCGATACATGGCCCCATCCATCCTCCCCTCAATACGGTGCAGTCGTCCTGTCCCCTTTGCAGAAAAGCATCCCCAAAGAATGATGTTTCCACCTCCATGCTTCACGGTTGGGATGGTGTTCTTGGGGTTGTACTCATCCTTCTTCTTCCTCCAAACACGGCGAGTGGAGTTTAGACCAAAAAGCTCTATTTTTGTCTCATCAGACCACATTACCTTCTCCCATTCCTCCTCTGTATCATCCAGATGGTCATTGGTAATTTTACGAGGTGAGATCTTGCATGGAGCCCCAGACCGAGGGTGATTGACCGTCATCTTGAACTTCTTCCATTTTCTAATAATTGCGCCAACAGTTGTTGCCGTCTCACCATGCTGCTTGCCTATTGTCCTGTAGCCCATCCCAGCCTTGTGCAGGTCTACAATTTTATCCCTGATGTCCTTACACAACTCTCTGGTCTTGGCCATTGTGAAGAGGTTGGAGTCTGTTTGATTGAGTGTGTGGACAGGTGTCTTTTATACAGGTAACGAGTTCAAACAGGTGCAGTTAATACAGGTAATGAGTGGAGAACAGGAGAGCTTCTTAAAGAAAATCTAACAGGTCTGTGAGAGCCGGAATTCTGACTGGTTGGTAGATGATCAAATACTTATGTCATGCAATAAAATGCAAATTAATTACTTAAAAATCATACAATGTGATATTCTAGATTTTTGTTTTAGATTCCGTCTCTCACAGTTGAAGTGTACCTATGATAAAAATTACAGACCTCTACATGCTTTGTAAGTAGGAAAACCTGCAAAATCGGCAGTGTATCAAATGCTTGTTCTCCCCACTGTATATTTTATATATATATAAACATGCGGGATTGGAAGTGATGCAGACAATTACATTGATGGAAGTTACAATCAAATGCAGTTTTAGATCATCTACAGATGAACATTCCGGACTATACAAATAAAGTGTGACCACAATTTTTACTGGGTTGCCATGGAACCCAGGAGCCAGTTAACCTAAGACTGAGAAGCATGATGAGGAGAGGAGCTTGTTTTTCTTTTGTGTTTCCAAAAGTGGCTAGTGCAAAATATCTCATGTTTTGACACCTCACACCACGTGTTAATTGGGAACCCACACTCTTACAAAAAAAGGTGCTATCTACAACCTAAAATGGTTCTTCAGCTGTCCCCATAGGAGAACCCGGTGAAGAACCCTGTTTGGTTCCACGTAGAACCATTTTGTTTCCAGGTAGAACTATTTTGGGTTCCATGTAAAACCTTTTCCACATAGGGTTCTAAATGGAACCCAAAATAGTTCTACCTGGAACCAAAAAGGGTTATCCTATGGGGACGGCAGAAGAACCCTATTCAAACCCTGTTTTCTAAGAGTGCAGCATGAGAAACTGTAAGCAAAAAAATATATATATATTCTGTCAATTACAGTATGTGGAAACTAGGACCCGATACATTAGTTACAGCACCACATGAATAATCTGATGTCTACATGCAGAACAATACTGTAAGTAGTTTAGTCACTATTTCAAGATCTGCCACATGGAGTGTTTTTGGGGACCTGGTGATTTATATTGTTGGGTTCCAGTAATCAACACAATCAAATACAGGTTTCCACTTCCATCATTAACCTTTTCCATAATGCTTACCTACTTATAACTGTGTAACCTCTGCAGTAGTGGACAAATCACTGCAATCAAACAAGATCACTCAAATATCCTGGGAGTTGTTCTTTCTATCGTTCTATACCTTTTCACAATGTTTCAAAACAGTGTTGATTGATCCTTCCTGCTGCTCAACACACTGCCTGTTTATTCATAGTATTACATAGTACGGCTAGCACTCCATCTCTCTCCATCAACAATTCTCCAGCTTTAACCGCTTATTAAGGATCACACCCTTCTTTTAAATTTCCTCCTAAAATGACAAACGCAAATCTAACTTCCTGTAGCTCAGGACCTGAAGCAAGGACATGCATATTCTTGGTACCATTTGAAAGGAAACACTTTGACGTTTGTGGAAATGTGAAATTAATGTAGGAGAACATACCACAATAGAATCTGGTAAAATATCAAATAACCCACAAAAAAAATTATATTTTTATTTTTGTTGCATCATCTTTGACATGAAAAAGAAAAGCCATACATTCAGATAGGAAGCTGGAAGTAATTTAGATGCAGTGTATGTGCAAACTTTCAGACTGATACCTTCAAGAATGAGGGTGCTACATAACATTTAGTATGAAGTCACCCAGGTGTCCCTCACGAGTTTGCCCAAATGCACCCAAGTGGCCGAATTGGTCAATTGATACATTTTCAAGTACATAACTATAGAGAACATACAAAAATGATATGGTAATAAAAAATACACGTTTATACACTCCCAAGAATGTCATACATGATGGATCATTAGCTTCCCTACATAAGACACTAACCTTCACACATCTAGATGGCCGGGCGGGGTGGGTGTGGAGCCAGAGACAGTAGCAGGAGTCTGACTGAATGAACCAGTTTCTACTGGAGGACTTGAATGTGGTCTCTTTGGTGTTGGCTCAGAGTCAGAGTCTCTAGCAAAATAGAAGATGTAAAAAGTTCAGTAAGAAGTCAAGTTTTCTATTACTTATTTTTTTTTACCTTTATTTTAGCAAGGGTGAGCCCTGCATCAATACTTTTACGGATGAGCCATGCATCAATACATCAAATAAACAACACATATCTATAAACATATTTTAGAGTTTGGGGAACACAATCACTATAATGACATATATTTACCAATAGTAAATAGGGCAGACCTACAATGTACACTGCTCAAAAAATAAAGGGAACACTAAAATAACACATCCTAGATCTGAATGAATGAAATAATCTTATTAAATATTTTTTCCTTTACATAGTTGAATGTGCTGACAACAAAATCACACAAAAATTATCAATGGAAATCAAATGTATCAACCCATGGAGGTCTGGATTTGGAGTCACCCTCAAAATTAAAGTGGAAAACCACACTACAGGCTGATCCAACTTTGATGTAATGTCCTTAAAACAAGTCAAAATTAGGCTCAGTAGTGTGTGTGGCCTCCACGTGCCTGTATGACCTCCCTACAACGCCTGGGCATGCTCCTGATGAGGTGGCGGATGGTCTCCTGAGGGATCTCCTCCCAGACTTGGACTAAAGCATCCGCCAACTCCTGGACAGTCTGTGGTGCAACGTGGCGTTCGTGGATGGAGCGAGACATGATGTCCCAGATGTGCTCAATTGGATTCAGGTCTGGGGAACGGGCGGGCCAGTCCATAGCATCAATGCCTTCCTCTTGCAGGAACTGCTGACACACTCCAGCCACATGAGGTCTAGCATTGTCTTGCATTAGGAGGAACCCAGGGCCAACCGCACCAGCATATGGTCTCACAAGGGGTCTGAGGATCTCATCTCGGTACCTAATGGCAGTCAGGCTACCTCTGGCGAGCACATGGAGGGCTGTGCGGCCCCCCAAAGAAATGCCACCCCACACCATGACTGACCCACCGCCAAACCGGTCATGCTGGAGGATGTTGCAGGCAGCAGAACGTTCTCCACGGCGTCTCCAGACTCTGTCACGTCTGTCACGTGGTCAGTGTGAACCTGCTTTCATCTGTGAAGAGCACAGGGCGCCAGTGGCGAATTTGCCAATCTTGGTGTTCTCTGGCAAATGCCAAACGTCCTGCACGGTGTTGGGCTGTAAGCACAACCCCCACCTGTGGACGCCGGGCCCTCATACCACCCTCATGGAGTCTGTTTCTGACCGTTTGAGCAGATACATGCACATTTGTGGCCTGCTGGAGGTCATTTTGCAGGGCTCTGGCAGTGCTCCTCCTGCTCCTCCTTGCACAAAGGCGGAGGTAGCAGTCCTGCTGCTGGGTTGTTGCCCTCCTACGGCCTCCTCCACGTCTCCTGATGTACTGGCCTGTCTCCTGGTAGCGCCTCCATGCTCTGGACACTATGCTGACAGACACAGCAAACCTTCTTGCCACAGCTTGCATTGATGTGCCATCCTGGATGAGCTGCACTACCTGAGCCACTTGTGTGGGTTGTAGACTCCGTCTCATGCTACCACTAGAGTCAAAGCACCGCCAGCATTCAAAAGTGACCAAAACATCAGCCAGGAAGCATAGGAACTGAGAATAGGTCTGTGGTCACCACCTGCAAAACCAGTCCTTTATTGGGGGTGTCTTGCTAATTGCCTATAATTTCCACCTGTTGTCTATTCCATTTGCACAACAGCATGTGAAATTTATTGTCAATCAGTGTTGCTTCCTAAGTGGACAGTTTGATTTCACAGAAGTGTGATTGACTTGGAGTTACATTGTGTTGTTTAAGTGTTCCCTTAATTTTTTTGAGCAGTGTATTTATACAGACCTAAAATGTATTAGCATAGCCATTGTGTATTTTATGTTGACTGAGTCTGTAGCACTATAGAATATTTTAAAAAATCAGTAAGAACTCAAGTTGACTATTTACTTATTTTATTGACCCTTTATTTTAGCAGGGGGTGAGCCTGCATCAATTATTTTAGCAGGGGGGTGAGCCCTAGCCAATGTGTATTTTATTTTGACTATCACATGCTGTGCCTGTGGTTTTCGAGTGCCCTAATTACAATTGGTAAACATATTTCATGATAGTGATTTTATATATATATATATATATATATATATATATATATATATATAGCAATCAAATAAAAATATCTCAAATGAATAATATGCAAACATTTAAACAACTGCATGAGAAGAAAGTATTTTACTTCCCTGTCTAAAGTTACGTCTTTCCCATCCAATAGAAATCAGCGCGAGTCTACAGTGTAATCACTAACTGAGTCCTCATCAACTTCTATGTCACTTTCCCAATCGATTTCTGCAATAATCTCGTCCAAATCTGTATACTTGGTCTTCTATTGAGCTTTTCCTGTTTTATTAGCCATGTTCTACTTTCTAAAATAGTAATACACTTTAATGAGCAGCTGTCATCCTCCAGGACCCTGCCAGGCTTAGGGTGATTGTCCCCTAACAGCCCGTGCAGGTTCACTGTCAGACCGCAGCTTTCGTGTGCCACCTCGGAGAGGCCAAGGGTCCCTCTTGACTGTTCAATAGAGCCATGCCCAACCCAACTCAGCACTTTGGCTTGTGACATACATTATACAAAAGCAATTCATGTCTTTGTCAGCGAGGGAACTAATTACGTAACACAAAAAGCTCTCAGAGATTATTGTTCCTTTTGTTGAAGAGCTTTCGTCGCCATTCACTCCGACCACTAAAACTTCACTGACCGATTTATTGTTGAGAAACAGTTCTGCAAGTTGAGCAGCATCATTATATGGTCCACGAAAGCCTCTTCTATGTGCATGAATAAAAATAGCACAGCAATAATTAAACCATCACCTGAACGTTATCCGGGGAACAGTTGACTCCCTTTGTAGAGCTAAATAGGTAAATGGTATTTGAAATGGCTGTGTTGTATGCTCAACACCCGCTAAACCAGAGCTCCCCTGGGACAGGATTCACAATTAAAGCTGAATTAAATAATACACTATATGCAAGCTTTAAAAATGTGGTCATTTTGGAAGTTCTAGGGGCATGAGTAAGGAACTATTAATCGAAGTGTCTTTCCATAGCCAATCAGACATTTCACTGGGAATGTTTCTGCATATTGTTAACATTTACGGAGACCTCAGACAATTTGCAAAAATGTCATTATGGAGAGGGAGATGGGTGAGGAGAGGGGGTTGGGTTGGGACACCTACGTTAACCATGCATGTTTATGCAGTAACTTTGTTCACAAACTAATGCCTGCACAAACACCTGCCTTACTCTGAAATCAGTTTGGCTGGTTCAATTGAATTTGAGCCCCAACCAAAAAGGAAGATAACCAAAATGTTATGAAAATCCGAACAGTAGAAAACTCAATATTCTGTTTGGTAAAATCTTCCGACACTAGAGAGTTTTGTATGCAGATGCTCTGATCATTAAACCGCTCCCTGTGAGATTAGACTGTGTCATGAATAATTTCAATTCTCTGTTTTACAGCCGTTTTGCTGTTAAGTAGTTGTCACAGATATCAAAACACCTGCCATTGTCAGTCCAGTATATGTTGTAGTGTCATCATAACCATTAACTCCAGCTAGTTCAGTTCAGTCAGAGAGTGGGAGCAACCACATTGTTTTAGCATTGCTGTCTCCATGGCTTTGCCTCTCTGGTACCAGGTTACTTGCACTCCTTCCCACTGTTTGATCTTCCGTGTCTCTCCAGATGTCTGCCCAACTTCTGCGAACATGGAGGGCAGTGTTCCCAGTCCTGGAGCAGCTTCTACTGCGACTGCTCTGGGACAGGATACACCGGAGCCACCTGCCACAACTGTGAGTCACCGCCTGCTCTTCAGTCAATTCAAGAAGTACACTGAAATTCCCATTCCAATTCTCTTCAATGCTTTTCAAGATTTGGAATTGGAATTTTGTATACTTTCTGACTGGAATTGAAATGGAATTGACCCCAACCCTGCACTATACCCATTTTGTTTTATTGTGTAAATAAACAATTTATTCTCACTATTTCCATATCTAATATGTTGTTGTAATGCTTAGCCATAGATCGTTTTGCATACTTCGAGGGTGTTTGATGATATGCAACACATTTGAAATGGAAATACGAATATAGACCACCCCGTTATCAATATAGACCACCCCGTTGTCAATATAGACCACCCCATTATCAATATACTCCACCCTGTTGTCAATATAGACCACCCCGTTATCAATATACACCACCCCATTATCAATATACACCACCCCATTATCAATATAGACCACCCCGTTATCAATATAGACCACCCCGTTATCAATATACACCACCCCATTATCAATATACTCCACCCTGTTGTCAATATAGACCACCCCGTTATGTATCCCTGCATTCCTCTGTAGCCATCTATGAGGCATGATCTCTCCCTGTGTTCCTCTGTAGCCATCTATGAGGCATGATGTATCCCTGTGTTCCTCTGTAGCCATCTATGAGGCATCATGTGAGGCCTACCGGCTGACTGGCAGCTCCTCCGGCTACTTCTCCATTGATCCAGATGGCAGTGGTCCTCTGGCGCCCACACAGGTCTACTGCAACATGACAGGTGAGCTGCCACCCTGGCCCTCTACCCTACATACACATTTACACTGATGGCCTTTATGATCTTGTTGTCAGACTAATCTAGGTTTACAGCCAGAATTATATTTTAAATCGGATTGCCGTTGATAATAATCCAACAGTATTGTGATAATTCAGATCAATCTCAGTATATCTCATTGATCTTCATCCTATAGTATTCAGGGGCTTTATTTAAGGTCAGAACATTCTGGATTAAATGAATTTTCCTTTTCCCTTTATTCCTTTATATGGGAAGCAGCCACATTAGGCTGCTTCATATCCGTAAAATCCCAATGCACTCTAGCGAGGTTGACCGATACTGACTGGTAATTAAGGGGACTGTCAAATATGTAACTACCTCCCAGCTAGGTACAGGATCATGAATAATCATATTCAAATCACTCCTCGAAATGTCTAAATTTTATGAAACGCAGTGTGTAATCAGTACTGTGCTTTCAGATTCTGACTCTGTGCCTTTTTACATCCAAGTGTTCAAATAAACTAAAAACTAAAACCTGTTTCTTATCTGTTCCATGTTGTGTTGTAGAGAACAAGGTGTGGACAGTAGTGACCCACAACAGCACAGATCCAGTCAGGGTCCAGGGTTCTACACTACAGAAGCCCTACGTTATGAAGTTTAACTACAGCGCCTCACCTGAACAACTGATGGCCCTCGTGGCCAGGTCAGAGCAGTGTCAACAGGAAGTAGTATACAGCTGCAGGAAGTCCCGCCTCTTCAACACGTGGGGTGAGCCTTTCCAAAATTGACTTGCAATGTGTTGGAAACATTCAGTTACAGATATTTTGCACATTTCACTAAGCAGGCATCTCAAGCACAACCAATTTAATACCAGTTGTTTGTCTATATAGCATTTGTATATTCCCTGCTGTATATGTTCTATTGAACATTGTTTGTGTGCCATCGCATGGGGAGTTAAACTCCATCTAGCTAGTTCTCTCATCGCTCGGGGAGACCCAACTATAGGTTCATCATTTATGAAAAATTTATGTAGTCAGATCTCTCTGAGGTGAATACAGTGTCACCACAGACAATAAACAAGTTTATTATGAAACCACTTCTGTGGTCCTCTGTAGCTCAGCTGGTAGAGCACGGCGCTTGTAACGCCAAGGTAGTGGGTTCGATCCCCGGGACCACCCGTACACAAAAAAATAAATAATTATACACGCATGACTGTAAGTTGCTTTGGATAAAAGCGTCTGCTAAATGGCATATTTATTATAATTATAAAGAAAGAAAGAATAATACAAAAAACACAGATCACTGTAATTGGACAAACAAAACATGGTCCTTATATTGGCACAGGGAAACTCTTTCTGTCCTGCTGTATGAAAGATGGCTTTCTCATGCTACATCATAAGGAGCCCTCCAGTTGCGGACGGTGCAGTTGCCGTACCAGACGGTGATACAGCCCGACGGGATGCTCTCAAGTCCGTGAGGGTCTTAGGGGCCAAGCCGAATTTCTTCATCCTCCTGAGATTGAAGAGGTGCTGTTGCGCCTTCTTCACCACACTGTCTGTGTGGATGGACCATTTCAGGTTGTCAGTGATGTGCACGCCGAGGATCTTGAACCTTTTCACCCTCTCCACTGCAGTCCCATCGATGGGGATGGGGGCATGCACCCTCTGCTGGTTCCACAATCAGCTCCTTCGTTTTGTTGACGTTGAAGGAGAGGTATTTTTTGTGTTTTATTAGGTCTCCCATTAGCTGTTGCGAAATCAGTAGCTACTCTTCCTGGGATCCACATAAAACATGAAACATGACATAATAAAGAACATTAATAGACAAGAACAGCTCAAGGACATAACTACTTTAAATGTAAAAAGGCACACGTAGCCTACATATCAATACATACACACAAACTATCTAGGTCAAATAGGTGAGAGGCATTGTGCCATGAGGTGCTGCTTTATCTGTTTTTTGAAACAATGCCAAGAGTGTGCAAAGCTGTCATCAAGGCAAAGGGTGGCTACTTTGAAGAATCTCAAATACACTTTTTTGGTTACTACATGATTCCATGTGTTATTTCATAGTTTTGATGTCTTCACTATTATTCTACAATGTAGAAAATAGTAAAATAAAGAAAAACCCTTGAATGTGTTCTAAAACTTTTGACCGGTAGTGTATATTTACAACTTAGGTCAGCTATGCTGGCCTATGGAGTCTCTTGGGAAACCCAATTACTGAACCACTTTGGAAAGCTCATATTCTGATCTAGCCAGTAAAAAAGTATGGTCCACGTGTGTCCAAACTTTTGACTGGTACTGTATATTATCTGAAAATGTAGCTAGCTAGACTCTCTTAACCGTATACATGGATGAACGCTTCTCCCTCTCTGTCACGGATG